TCAAGTGACCCAGGTCAAGGCATCTCCTTAGGCTGGATGGAGGAGGACGAAGAAGTGGATTCAGAGTGGAACGTTCCCTCTTGCATAGACCAACATGCAGCTCATCTCCAGGGTTCTCAGATCAACGCGCAATCCTGGTGTCTTCTCTCTGTCGCCTGTCTGTCTGTCACTCGAGTCAATCTCTCCCCCAGATTTCAGGTGAGCATCACCAGCCTCTGGCCCCATCATGGTCGTGTCGTTGAATGCAATCACGATCAGCTCGGTGACTAACGCTTTAATAACAGTTCACTAGCTGTGGACAAGAACTTTGCCGGAAATTCCTTCCAGCTCTTAACATATTCAACGTCTCCCATAAGTATGAACAGAAAGTATCCTTGTCGTCTAATCCAGAGAAAACTACGTGCTTGCTACATGGTGCATCGAAATCAACCCGCCTTCGTACTCGTTCGACACATGGATGATGCGGATCCACACTGCCGTTCCCACCCTCAGCACCAGCTTGCAAGTGGCCCAAGCTCCTCCCTCTGCTTAGGATCATTTGCTCCCATCCTTGAAACCCTCACACCTTCTGCAACCTGCTGCCGGGTTGGTCTTCCAAATAATTAAGGGTCTCTACACCAGTTGTTGCCGGCGCTTGTCAACTTAATGCACCTGCTACGTTTCCTAGCTCGGGGCTGCTTTCTCTTGTCACTGCCTGGAGACCGGGATTGATCTAATTACCATCTTTCGAGAACATGCCTCATCAACTCTCCAACGACGGAAGGGTCTGTCAACCGCGCTAATAATGGTACAAACCGTTCGGGGGATAGCTGGCATTCGCCAGTGTCTGTGAGGCCTTCGATAACGGTGGTACGACGAACGTCGGATACTATTTACTGGCAGGGGCCCTCTGGAGCTACTTAGGTAGAACACTTCGAGAGCTCCACCGGGAGTACCAGACTGGCTATAACATTGATCGATCTCCTACTCCTCTGAGGCCCTCAAGGATCGATGAAAATATTTTGTTTTGATCTTCGTGCAGATGCTCGGTGATCTAGCTCTGGGGTCTAGACGGTCGCCACAGAAGAAACAGGATGCCGTATCTGCTAATCCTGGAGGGTTGAGCATCAACGGAGTACTATACGACTTGCGTTCTGGACGGGCTTTCCAAGTAGTAATACCTCGAATGAAGATTTGGTGATCCGAATCCCCCTTCCCTTAGGGTGGTCCGAGTGTCGGCGCTAATCCGCAACTGCGTGCAAATCTGGGGTGGTCATGAGGCCGGCCACGATCAATGATGTACTCCGATCCGAATAGTCAATTCACGGCGCCCATCCCCACAATCAGCGGTGTTACCCTTTGCTTTCAGAGGTGTGCCAGGCGCTTCTGAAGACTTGTTGGCATAAAGGCCTCCTTCGCTTACTGTTGGAATTCGCCGAAGGAGCGATATGTCGCCGCCAAGTTAGGTGTTGAAAATTGCCGCAAATCCACCCTCCCCATACAACAAAGGATTCGTCGGTTGCTCAATGCGCTTACCAGGTTGTCTGCCGATGCGACCAGGCGAGGGTCAATATGCTGACAATCGCAGCGATACGCTTCTGGAGCCTTGGGAAGATGAACCGTCTTACGTGGTCCTCATCAGAGCTTTGTCTGCATTGGCTAAATATCTCTCAGCCTCGAGGGACATCGACCTCGGGAAGCACTTCCAAGTCTTGGGACCTGACTCGAACGAGCGGTCTCATCCAATAGGTTTGCAGAAGATCCAGCAAGGCCACGAGTCCTATCCGCCCTGGGCGTTTGGGAGACATTTTGAAGAGAAAAAAAGCGGCAAAGCGGCCTTCACTTCGCTCCCGTCACCAATAACAAACAGTCTCGAGAAATCCAGTACTGCAAAAGTGAGCACCTGACATGTTCCTCGGCGTCATTTTTTCCACGAATGCCGCTAGGAGTTTTGAACCGTTCCTCCAAGCAGCATTGGTCGAAACTTTGTGAAGACCAAGGGAAGGCTGCGGACGTCTCGGTATAATCCCAAGGCGAGTTATGTTTCGATTGGCCAGAATATGAAGGATTTAGGTGAACACTGCATAAGCCGCCCGTTAGGTCGACTCCGAATAGGAGAGATACATTGCTGATGCCTGGACGACCTCGCGCTTCGACATTGAACTACTGCTGGCCACAGTGTCTCCATCATTTCGTAGGTGGCTTTTCAGAGTAACACGATTCTCAGTGAGATCCAAACCTCTCAAACCACGAATGCGGAGGTGGCTGCAGCGTGGACACGAATGAGGACCATCACTAGAATCCATTCTAAATTAGAATGCCCTATTCCGAGTTTCTACCTGCTACATGTGGCATGGGCTTGATGGCATGCTGGACTCAGTGCTGCATCAGCGGCTTGGTCCTCATGCAGCCGATCCAACAGACATGACGTCTGCGCAATGACGCTCATCTGTGGCCACAAAACGAGAAGGAACAACAAATCCCTTTCGAGTGTCGGGTCAAAAAGCATCTAAATCAACTCAATGACGTTACATTTTGTTGAAGGCAACGATCGTCAGATGTGCAAGACGATGTTCGTCACCAGCGCTCACTACCTCAAAGATCCCTTAACTCTAAGCCTTACCGGAACATGGGCTTGTGCATGTGTGTTTTTGCAACCTCGAGGAATTCCGGAGGACATTCGAGTGAAAAGTATGCTTGTCTGCAAGAACTCGGACAGGAACGCGGCTCTGATTGTGTATCGATTGTACTCGAGTGGCCTGTGCGAGACTGCAGGCGTTGGCAGCAACATACTCCGTACCCCGTACCAATGCGCACGGTAGGGTGGCTTGCTAGCATGAACTAGAGACTAGCTTGGGCAAAGTACCCTTTTGCCGTTGATCCCTTGTACTCGAGACTATTTCCACGTGCATGGAGGGGCCAGCGTTGTGTCCGAAGAGGGGTCGAGGGGTCTATCAACCTTGGGTGGCCGGACATATCATCCTCCTTTCTGAACGCTTCACTGTGCCCGGCAAACTCATGAACATTGTGCCAGTCATCTTCAATGTTCAGACGGCCCACGTCGTGCATCATCAGATCCCCTGGCTGCATGCGCAAGGCTGGAGCTAACGGCGGACAATGGAGGTCTAAATCTCGTCAGAGAATGGGATCGTATAGAGCATATTCCACTCCGGACGCACTGCGCCCCATGTTGAATTACAAAACAACAAACAGCATCGTAAACCTCACCCTCTAACGGACGGGAAACCGGCCAAACTCCCGCACGGCAGCAGTGCCGTCGAGTCTACAAGAGACCACCGTACGAGTACAAGAAACCGTTAGTGTGGCGAAAAGAGACATATTGTGGTTCCCTAGAATGGGGGGACTTGAAGGCTGTCCGTTTGCAGGAAACCCTTGACAAAGCGACGGAGAGTCGAATTGCCCTTTCCCAGTCTTGGAATTGCCAAACTCTATGCTGGGATCCTCCACATTGGCGAAGATGGTCCCGCTGTTTCAGGTAGGGAGAATCGAATGGCTGAAGCGGGAACGGGGACCGCGCAGATGGTTTGGGCGGCTCGACTCGTCTCTATCGACGTCCGCAGCTTTGTTGGGATTTGGTCTACCATATCGTGACTTTTCAGTTAGCAACGCACATGATCCGACCGCGACGTATATGGCGCCTTACCACACCTGCGAGCAGCTTGTACCTATACCGAGGACAGAGCAGTAAACAGTCAAATGCCCGGCAGCACTTCTCCTTCCCTCTACATGAACATCTCTTGCACACCTTAGGATCATGAATGTCGTTTCTTGAATGTCCACGGGGACAGAAACGGTGTTTCAACTAAAGGCCCGACCTACACGACAAATGAACCCAGAAAGCTCTTCTCGGCCACTTGGGACAGTCGGTGTTCGTGACTGTAAGGATGCTTACTCGTACCATCTTGTGGCGAAAACAATGGCAAGCCTGCGTATCGCCAGTCCGGGCTAGCCCACTCTTGACCAACCGTACTAGCCCGAGGAAATCGGCAGTTCGTGGGATTCCGACGGGAAGAAATACAGAACTTCTACTGGCAGAGCCCTTTTCCCCACCAACCACATACTTGGACATAATTGTCGCTTCGAAAATCATCGAAGCTTCTACATCCACGCCTAGGTAGGTACGGAGTACTCTTAAAACGTCCCCTGCGATACGAGAACATGAGTTGTGGGTGGTACGGGGCCCCAACCACCAATGTGGACCATACTTAGTACTCTGCGCCTAAGAGCACGGAAGTTAGTCGTATACGATGGTCCACAGGCATGGGCTTCATCGATGTACGTGGTTGTTTCGTCCGACGAACATACATGACCTACTCGTAAGTTTCGTACCCGTCCATGCGTGCATGCGTAAGTGAGTAGGTTCGTTCATTCGATCGTCCTTTCGTTCTTTCGTGCGCTCGCTCGCTCAGACGTTCTTGAGGAATGGATGCGATGGATGTGATGGACGGACGGCGAGACGGATGCCCCATCATACCATGCAAGACATCGGTTTGCTGCCTCCACAATCGAGGCAGTCCAGTCCAGCCCAGCCAAGCGTTCTCCCTCTCGTTGAGTTTTTCTTTTCTTCCCAGGGTCCTGATCCTGGCCCTTATTTCCACGTAGTTTTCTTGTCCCTGTCCCCTGGCCCTGACCCTGACCCTCGTCACTGCCTCTTGGCCTTGGCGTCTGTCACCGAGAAATGAGCAGTACTCCACAGCAAGCCAAGCAGCAGCATCCTCTTTAGGCTGTCTCCTTTCGTGGCAGCGAGCAAGCCAACAGCAAGCCACCAAGCAAAGCCTCCTCGGAGCTGCCCATGGGTCCAGGATTTGTTCCTTCCTCATGAGTCGACTCGAGAGTCCGTACCTACGTACTCCGGACTAGTGGTCGTCGGAGCCAAGCAATGGCGGGGATTTGGTTACATACAAAACCGATGCGGAACGGGGTGAGAAATGCTCAAATCCCAAAGGGGGAGAGTGCACGTGGAACAACGTCTCGGGAGGGGGTCAATCGTCGATTAAGATTCAAGTTGCCAGGGCTGTCCCAAAGAGACGAAAGCGTCGGTCGTAAACAACATGATTCTTGGCTTGCCCCTTTGGATGAACAACAGGTGTGCCGTACTCCTTGATCAGACACTCAAAGGGCCTTGCGCTGGGTTTGACATGGCACCCTTCTTCGGCGGTGGTTCCTGATTCCTCTTTCCTCTCCTGCAAATCTCCCCACAAGTGAAACAGCTTCTCCTTCAGTGTCGCCAGCTCGCCTTGGTTCTCCTTGTCCCACAGGTTGCAGGCGTCCATGTTCAAGAGGAAGTCTCCATCCGTGGCCGCCACGAGCAGTTCCATCTGGGTCGGCCGCCCATCAGTGCCTGTCTGCGCGCGGGCGTCCTCGACAAGGAGGAGGAATCGCCATTCCCATTGCACTTCCTCGCCTTCGTTCATCCGACTGAGATCGATATCCAAATTTTCGTCAAGGTCCTCGTTGTCGGACAAATCATCAAACTGGTCGACTTTTCGTGGGGCAGCAAAGTCGGCAATATTGTCTGGGAAGAAATCCACAACCCGAACTTTTGACTTGTAGGTGCAGTTCTGGAAGGGTAGTCGAAAGGTATTGCCCTTTGCCGTCGTGCGGTTCAAAATGTCTGGGTCTAGGATGTCTATAATAGACTTGCATGACACTCCCTCATACTGGTTGCATCGGATATGGGGGTTGGCTTTCAGGAGGGAGTGCTCGTGTCGCGCAACTGTGGCTGCAGCCATCTTTTCCCGTTGTTCAGCCTCGAACTTTGCTTTCTTGTTCTTTCGGTTTCTTGCCTTGGTCCTCTTGCACTTCGGTTCCTCATTTTGCTGCTCGGTAGGTTTGTCTCTCTGCCGCTTCTTCTTCACCTGGTTAGGGACTCGGAGAAAGCTGAGGCCTTCCGCCTCTACCTTTTGCTCATATGCTCGTTTGCGGTACAGCACTTCCTTCCGCTTTTCATCGCCAGAATTCGCCACTTCGATCAAATCCTTCTCCGGATAATTGCGATCATCTCGACAATTGCCCTCCAACTTCGAGCCATTCCTGTCCATTTTGATTTGCACATTACGCAGGTATACAAAATTGCCCACGTTCGCAATGCGCGTCGCGACAGAAGCCTGCCTGCCCCAGCATGTGACCAGGATCGTCATCTTTCCCCATGGACCGGGCCATTCGCTTGAGTTTTTGTCTTCAATATAGCCGAACGGATCACCGTCTTGGCCACAGTCGTCGTTGGACCACTTGTAGTCTCGGAGCCCGTCATTGGTCGTATAGTCAGTCACATAGAGCTCGGTGGTCAAGTCGTTGGGAGAGAATATTTTGCGCACTTCGCCCAAAAGATCCGCAAATATATAATCTTTGCCGCGGGGCAAGTCGAGTTGGTCCAGTGTACGGAACTTTTCTTTGCGGGCAGGAGCGGTGCCGCCGTTTTCTACCATCGTATTGCTTATTTCTAACCGTGTTCTGGGTTGTTGTTGTGTCCACAGACATGGGTCTTCTTGCTCAGCAATCCACTTGGCATACCTCAACTCGGCTTCGTTGAGAAGGGATGCTTGACCTCTTGGAAAAGAATTGCTCCACGGGCCATTGGGTTTGCATCCTCGTCCCTGCCATCTGGCCTTGTCCTTCAGATCTTGGATAGATCGAATCTTCTCTAACTCGGCGAAAGGGAGCACAACCCAACTGGATGTGGAGTTCGACCACCCTGACAGCTGGCCTTTGTGCTTATTCATTTTCACATTTCGCAGGATGACGACATCACCTTGGTCTCTTATGTCCGGAAGTTGTTCAAGTTCCCTGTGAAAGAATGCGAAGGGCAGCCCTATACCATATGGCCATACTGGATCGTGTAACGTGAATGTGATTTTGTAGTCCCGTTTACCACCCTGGCATCTTGTCGGATTGAGAAAGTCAACACAAACCCCGATGACGTGAAATTGTTCTGAATTTAGATTGATGTTGCAGGCGTTTGCGAGGTCGATGAACTTCGGGGGCACGGGGACGAAATCAAAAGGCATTGTGCAGGGCATTTTCTCAGAAGCGCATTGTTGATGCCGGTTTGCGCCCTGGAGCGGGTCAGAACAGAAGACTTTGAGAGCCGCAGTGGCTTCAGGTTTGTGGTCTGGTTGTTGGCCATTGATGAATCTCCAGGTTGCTGTAAGGGTCGCGACGTGTCCTCGACGTGTTGCTGGCTGCTTCATGAGCCAAGGCGCGACGCGCAATCACGTGATAAATGCCAAGCAATAGTGGCATGTGCTTTCCGCCTTGACAAACAGTGACTGCATCTCATACGACATCCACCCTACGAAACTGCAACTCCCGTTTCATTTGCTTCCATTTATTTATCCACAGCCGGCGCAGCCTCATCACTGACCGCCTTCACTTGCCACAGCGCGCAACCCCTCCTTTCACAAGTCCGGAATCTATCTTCTGCGGTGTGTCTTGGGTCAACTACGACCCTGAGCAGCTCTGAAAAACATCTCGTCTTTGAGGCCTTCCCTGAGACGTCACTGGAATTATGGCGGAAAGATATATCCCCGAACATCGGCGAACCCAGTACAAGGCGAAAGGCAGTTTCAAGCCCGATGAGCTGCGTCGTCGCCGTGAAGAACAACAAGTCGAAATTCGTCGCCAGAAGAGAGAGGAAAATCTAGCCAAGCGAAGAGGAGTCCAGCGCGGAAATGGCGAGATCGGTATTGGTGGTCTCACGGAGCCAGATAGTGATGATGAGACGGCCAATATTGAGAATGAGGTGAGAACAAATCCTTTTGTTGTCTCCCGCTTTAACCTGTGTCTAACGGTGTCCACAGTTGAGCACCGAACTGCCAGAAATGGTCAAAGGAGTCTTCTCGGACCAGATCGATGCTCAGATTCAAGCCACCACAAAATTCCGGAAACTCCTGTCCAAAGAACGCAACCCGCCCATCGAGAAAGTCATCGAGACTGGTGTCGTCAGCCGCTTCGTCGAATTCCTCCGATCCCCCCACACTCTCGTCCAATTCGAGGCCGCCTGGGCTCTCACCAATATCGCTAGCGGAAGCGCCGCCCAAACACAAGTCGTAATTGAAGCTGGTGCTGTTCCTATCTTTGTTGAGCTTTTGAGCAGCCATGAGCCGGATGTTCGAGAGCAAGCAGTCTGGGCTTTGGGTAACATTGCAGGCGACTCTCCTGCGTGCCGTGACTATGTCCTCAGCCAGGGAGCCCTGAAGCCCTTGCTTAATCTCATTGCCGATGGGCGTAAGTTGAGCATGCTTCGAAACGCAACGTGGACTTTGAGCAACTTCTGCCGCGGGAAGACCCCTCAACCGGATTGGAATACCGTAAGTGACCCTGGAATCTACACACAAGATAGATGCTGACAAGACTTTAGATTCAACCCGCACTCCCGGTCCTCGCAAAGCTCGTCTACATGCTCGATGACGAAGTCCTCATTGATGCCTGCTGGGCCATTTCTTACCTTTCCGATGGCTCGAACGACAAGATTCAGGCTGTCATCGAAGCTGGCATCCCACGACGTCTTGTTGAACTTCTAATGCATGCTTCTACATCTGTCCAAACCCCAGCTCTTCGGTCGGTGGGAAACATCGTCACTGGAGATGACGTGCAGACACAAGTGATTATCAACTGCGGCGCTCTGACAGCTCTACTGTCGTTGCTCAGCTCTCAGAAAGATGGTATCCGCAAGGAAGCATGCTGGACAATCTCAAACATAACGGCCGGCAACTCAACTCAAATTCAAGCGGTCATTGATGCGGGTATCATCCCTCCCTTGATACATCTCCTGTCCAACGGCGACTTCAAGACTCGGAAAGAAGCTTGCTGGGCCATTTCAAATGCCACTTCCGGAGGTCTTCAGAAGCCTGATCAGATCAGATACCTTGTCTCTCAAGGATGCATCAAGCCCCTCTGCGATTTGCTAGCCTGCCCGGATAATAAGATCATCCAAGTCGCTTTGGACGGACTAGAGAATATCCTCAAGGTGGGTGAAATGGACAAAGAGGCTGCGGACCCCCGTTCTCCAGAGGGACAGGTCAATCGATATGCATTGTTCATTGAAGAGGCCGGTGGAATGGAGAAGATTCACGACTGCCAGAACAACGCCAATGAGGAAATTTACATGAAGGCGTATAACATTATCGAGCGGTACTTCTCCGACGAGGAAGATGCCGGCGCTGATATTGAAGAATTGGCACCGCAGGCTAGCGCCACTGGCTTTACTCTTGGATCAAACCAACCCCAAGGCCAATTCAACTTTGCAAACGGCAACGACTCTATGGACATGTAGAACATGGACATGTAAAGCGTCAAGAAATGCCACTTGACAACCCCCGCAATGACGGCTGACGTTGGTCTCGTGCCCGACAAGCAGGCGCGAGCGGCGACGCAACACACTGCAACAGGGCTGCTTCAAAGCGCCGAGTCCTCAAGATCACCTTCCAAGCAGATATTTTCGCTAGAGTTGAATGAGAGCACCAACCTCGAAGCACCCCATCCACGGCCCCCCATGTCTTTTCACCCAAGCACGGACCCCACAACTCCCACCCTTCACCAGCACGATTCCCAAGATCCATCTACGACCCCACAATCAGATGCACCATCATGTAACCCCTAGCGATTCGACACAGCACATCACTTTGTACCCAGCTCCTGGCACCCAGCATTCGATAGAGGCGTTATTTCGGCAAAGAAAGTGAAACCATTATGGTCGGCACGGGCGCGGAAGAGGGAGGTATGGAAGAGGGAGGTAAGGAAGGAGAGAGAGAGAGAGATCAGGAGCACCAGAAATCAGGCAGGATAGCCTCCACTGGTGTCCTTATTGAGCTGCAGCCCCATGCCAAATGTATGTCGACTGCTTTCTATGCCCAATACAAAGACTTCACAACTCACCCGACGCTTCTGGACTTCTGCGGCTCGCTCTGCTTTTCCCGGGATGGTAAGCCATCTCGGTCTCATCTTGCCCGAGTCGACCACGAGCTTGTAGAGAAAATAGCAATGGCAAGCAGGCGTTTGTCCGGTATTGCGGGCAGGTCGTCTGATCAGCTGCAGGATCACTCCATAACTTCTTATGAGAAAACACACTCTGACCAGTTAGAGGGCGCATGCTCCTCTTTTCTCGGGCTTGGGGCCCTCCTTGTCGATGACCAGATTATAGGAGAAGCAGCCTAGAACCCCTCGTATCGTGCTTTCGATGCATCATTTCCATGCGAGCCGAGTCCAAGATGACAAGGTGATGTAACTCCCGTACCCCGCAATAGTGGATGAGGAGATGGAGGAGATGGTAGGGCCACCTCAGGCTGAGCGGGCAATCCAACCAACGTCTTCAGTCAACGTAACCAGAGCTCTTGGATGACCGGCACCTCCGCTTTTCTCCTGGCCAGCAACTGCGTCAAAGATTGCCCAAAACTGAGCATCGCCACGAGCGTGATGATCATAAAGCGAGATGTAAGTGCCGTGGATGACCCTCCGCAGCAGCCACATGTATATATATTGCTCTGGCTAATGTGAGCCCTGGAAACGTGTTCGCTCCCTGTTTCTCCTTCTCTCCTACAACTAACGGTCCTCCAAACCACTCTTGGACTAGTCTTATTGCTTCCTGCCACGCCCAATCACGCTATCAGATTCCTACATAGGACAGCCAACGACCCAATAGTACTCTAGTATGTCCGCCACCGAAGTTCGAGTTGGTGGCTCAGGCGGGACCATGAAGGCCGTCAACTATCAAGGTGCCTTCAAGGTCAAGGTGGAGGATGTACCGAAGCCTGCGATCGAGCACCCCGATGATGTTATTGTCAAAGTGACTACTGCCGGTAAGCCTTGGAAGCCTCATCCTCGACGTCGCCTGGGGGGTCGGGAGAGGTCAATGACCGTAACTAATTGCATTGAAATGTGAATAGCCATTTGCGGATCCGACTTGCACATGGTAAGAGCACAACTCGTGAACGAGATGCAACACAGATGTTCCACTGACGCGAAATAGTACGAGGGACGTACTGGTGCTCAGCCTGGTATCACCTTTGGTATGTCGCCATTTTGGAGGGAAGATAGCTGCCAACAACACCCTTCGCTAACCCCTCAAACACTAAGGGCACGAGAACATGGGGATTGTGGATGAAGTCGGCTCTGGGGTCACCCTGCTGAAGAAAGGCGATCGAGTGGTGATGCCCTTCAACGTTGCGGACGGACGATGCCGCAATTGCGAGGAAGGAAAGACAGCCTTCTGCACCGGTGTCAACCCCGGCTTTGCGGGTGGTGCATACGGTTATGTGGCCATGGGACCCTATAGAGGTAAGAGGAGACTCGTGGCGTGATCTCAAAGGCAATGTCGGTTGGTGTCTGACAAGAATCATAGGCGGGCAAGCTCAATACATTCGCATTCCGTATGCGGACTTCAATGCTTTGATATTGCCACCTGGGACAGAGCACGAGCAGGATTTCATTCTCCTAGCCGACATCTTCCCAACTGGATGGCACGGGGTATCGCTCAGCGGGTTCAAGCCCGGGGAGAGTATTGGCGTCTGGGGCGCCGGGCCTGTCGGGCTGATGGCGGCGTACTCGGCTTCATTGAGAGGGGCAAGCCGTGTCTACGTCGTCGACAGAGTGCCCGAGCGGTTGGCAGCTGCGGAGAAGATCGGATGTATACCCATTGACTTCAGCAAAGGCGATGCTGTGGGCCAGATCCTCGAGAAGAACGGCGGTATGTTGGATCGAGCGGTGGATGCTGTCGGGTACCAGGCGGTGGATACTGGTGGCAAGAAGGAGCAGCCGAATATTGTGTTGGAGAACATGATCCGGGCGACTAGACCATGTGGTGGATTGGGGATCCCGGGTCTTTATGTGCCCACGGATCCGGGGGCACCTGATGAGGCCAGTGGGAAGGGGATGATCAGCATGAGCTTCGGCAAGTTGTTTGAAAAGGCGAGTCCAAAGATGAAGTCGTGCCGGCAATGCAACGAGGAGGCTCTGGTGCTAACCATGGCTTCTAGGGCCTTTCCCTCGCTACCGGTCAATGCAATGTCAAGCAATACAACAGGTGAGAATGATCATCATGTTCTGTTCTCAGCCTGAGACTACTAACTGCGACAGGTATCTGCGTGATCTCATCATCGCAGGAAAGGCGAAACCTTCATTTGTGGTCAGTCACGAGATTGGCATCGACGATGCGGAGATGGCGTACGACAAGTTCGACAAGAGGATTGATGGTTATACCAAGGTCCTGATCCACCCCAATGGGCCATTGTGAGCAATGAATGGGGCTCGATTTGATTGCCCCTTTCCCCGGGGGGGCTCAAAGGATATTCGTAGGTCAAAAATGAATGAAAAATCATGTCCATCTGGGCCAATCTGCCACATTTTCCCCCACACTCTTTCTTTTTCCGCGGAGTATCTACAATACGAGGTAGAGCCTCACCACAATGTCTGTATTCCGTGCGGCTACTCGGTACTGGGTACTGTGCGCCCTTGCTAAAGGGGCCAGAAACAGTAAGTACTTCGGTCTCCTAATCAAGAATTAAAAAGGGGTGAATAGACTGAGTGGGTCTGCCATCCCATTGGCTCCTGCTAGTCTTGACAACATTGGTGTTTCAACCTTGAGTCTCCCTCCCATCTCCCGCCATCATTCATTCATCTCTCATTTCCCGAACATCGCTTCCACGATGCTGCTTCATCCTGCTCCAGGTGTTGATCGCCGGTCAGCGGCCGCAATCGCTGTCCCTCGTCGTAATGGCCCGATGACCGAATTGCACTTGAGGCTCTGGTCAGGAGTTGGGATGAAGCACGCGACCTTGACCATGATCACACCCGAGGTAGGACGCTGGTTCCTGCGAAACTTTCTTCATGGCCCCTTCCGACCCCCTCAAAGCGAGTCTGCCGATAGACAGAGTTTGTCATTGGTGGTCTGTGTACCCAGTACCTGCGCCCTTTGCATTGTCCACCCGTCCCTTGGTCCAGGTACCTGGCCGAGCTGGGTTTTACCTAGCGCAGCCACAGACGCCGATCGGCAGCATGGCTAATCTCTAACATCAATCACGTTTGGACGAATTCAACCCAATGGTTTTCTAGTTCCTGAAAAAGTCTATCACAGGAAGTCACTCGTATCTCACGTATTGCATGGATAGAGAGGTATTGATCCCACATGCAGGACGTGTCTCATGCAGGAACTTGGCAGGTCGATTTCTTTATGAGTACTGGGTACACGGAACTACTCCCTATTCTGCCCTACATTTGATGGTATATGGGCTCTCCGCTGTGATTTTTATCCTTCTTCCTCTTGTGAGGTCACTCTTTTGATGTTGTGCCACTCCTTTTGCGTTTTGGATAGGCCTCTGTCGTGAAGAGGTAGGAATCGTGGCAACCCGTAACGCCTCTTGCAGGCTGGTCTGAACAACACCCTCAATATCCGCTCAACACCCGACGGGCCACCCATTTTTTCACCATGATCTCTCTCACTATCGGTTATGTGTCTGGTATTATTGCCGCGGTGATTTTCATTCTTCAATTCGTGTTTCCCAATGCCCTCATCCTCGTGCTAGTGGGTTTTCTCAAAAATGACCATACGGCGGTGACCTGGTCTGTGGTTGAGCGCAGCCTGCTGAGTTCCCTGTGGTAAATCCATTATGTCCTTAGTGCAAAAGCCTTTTCCTGATGGCAACAGGCCGACGCTCCTCAAGACAGAGGCTGCCGCAAGTCGAGGGGTAGATACCAAGATCAGGCTCCTGACTTGGTTGCGGCCATTGGCTCTCGGGCTTGTCTCTGTCGCCGCGATTGTCACGCCCTTGGGACTTTACGACGACATTGTACCTTCCACGACGCCCCAATCTGTCGCCTTCACGTATATTGCAGACTCCAGTCCGATGGGATACGGAACGCCTCCACGGAGCCAACTCGGCTTTAGTCGAATTTGCGGAAACTTCCTCCCCGTGCAATGTCCCGGCACGACGAGCGCCATCACGTACAGTGGCAACGATACATTCATGGAGGCTAATATCACAAACGATGATTACGACACGAGGATCCCCAAGGTCCTTGCCGAACTCTACCAGAGCGGTCTAGCTCAGCAGCCGCAAACGGTCTCAAGCTTCTTCGATATTGAATCACGGTATTACTCGTTCATGTACCAAGATGGGGTCGCACATGGAGCAAAGTATATTGTGGACGCATTCCGCTACTTGTCCAGTATGGTATTGGACAACGCCATTGAGCCGGTGGAGGGTCTGGTCGTCGACACGGTTGCCGGCGGGGTCGGCTTCCGCAATCATACGGTCCCTGTCAGCGTTCAGCTGGGTGCCGAATGGACAGAGGATCTACTCTGGATTGAGCCCGAGACGGCGTGCGTCGACACAAACATCTCGGTCGAGTTCAAAATACCCTATAGCGGCATCGCCAGCAGTGATCTAGCCAACATGTCGCTCGTCGACAATGGGGGCTTCGCGAACCTGGTCCAGGAATACCCGTACGTCAACGTGACAGACTCCCAGACTCATCCAAACTTGCAGGGGCGAGCCTACAAAGCTGCATGGTTGGTGAACGTGTATACAATGCTGGTCATGAACCTGACCAGGCCGAATCCCGATTCCTTTGGTTATCTGAAATCCAAGGTTGGCGACAAATATCCAGTCACGACATATCAGACGACGGGAGCGAAGCTCAATGGGATCTATGTCACCAATCTCTGGTCATCCCTGCTGGACCCAGAGGCCTACTTGTCCAATTACACCTTGGCCGACGCGCCATCCGCCAACTATTCCAACCCATTTGGGCTCACCTCTTCGAACTATAGCGACATTTCATTGCTCTGCTCGGGGGCAGGAGGCGCTGATCTTGCGAATCTCACCAATGTTCATGTCGAGTGTGGCTTGGTCTTTGGAGCCGCGCAGCGTCGTGACGGGACGATAACCCTTGTCCAGGAGCCTGAAACCTGGTGGACACAGAAGGTGTACAGCTGTGCTACTGCAATGAAAGCGAGTATCAAAGAGGTCCGATTCCGATACAACGCGACGCAGACGACCGGCAACACGCTCAAGGCCTTGTCTATTGTTAATGTCAGCGACACGTCGTACCCAGACAAGGAGTCGATGCCTCTCTGGGGCGTTGAATCGCCTGGTTACACGATGAACGACATTCATCAGCTATGGGGACTGATCTCGCCGGAGCTTGAGCACTCGGTCAATTTGTCCACAGTGCGGGCTCCTCAATTGTACCTACCAGGATATGGTGGTTTGGGTGTTCTATCGACCGTGCCGGGATATGAGAACCTACCAGGAGCAGATGGGCCAGCCGATGCCCTGGCAGGAGTGTACCAGTCCGGCGGTGACGACTGGGCAGACTACTCTGGAGACACCAACATGGCCATGTACGCGCGATGGCGAGATCTTTCAGGGTCAGCAGCGACCGTGGCAAAGATCCCCAACCTCGTGTGGACGGATATCGCTGCGAACATGCTGGTGGGCACGCGCAACTGGAACTCTGGCAATGGGCTGCCCGCCAACCTTCAGAAACGGGATGATGATGGGACAAGCGGTGGCGGCAGCGACCAGGCCCTCGTGCCTGTGACTGTCTATCAGCAGCGCATTCGCTATCACTGGCCATTTGCCATCCCGGCATTCCTGGCGCTGGCGTTGTTCCTCGCGGTGCTTTTGGCTGCCTTCATCTCTGTTCTGTCTGGAAGGGGCCTCCCAGCACGAGTGCGACATTATCTATTTCATTTGTCGTCAGGGCGCATGTTGGGGGACATTCAATATGCTGGAGAATGCGACAAGTTGGCACCAACAAATGAATGGCTCGCACGTGTGGGTGGCAGGCGTAGCGATTTGCACGCCTGTGCCAGTCATAAGGCTAGCGATGTTAGCGGCAGTATCGGTATTGGGGCCCCAACCTCACCGTTCCTCGGGCAGCAGTATTATCACATGGCCAGCCGCATGACTGGCGGCATGACTGATGAGAAGCAGCAGAGGATGGTGACTGAGACGACCGAACTGCGGCATCTCACCGTGGCAGGGTCAGGTCATGGGCCCAATACGGGATATGTAAAGCTCAGTGAAAACGAACAGCCGGGATGGCGGTCACCCGGCCTCTAAAAAGAAAATATCTGGGGGAGGGGAGGGGGGGGGCGTCAGGCTGATTGAAGCTGCAAGGCTCCTCTTTCCGACTGGCGCGGGCGGGCAGCTAGGAGAATTTCCACGCTCCAAGAGCAGGTGGTCGAATTTCGGCGAGGGGCCGGTAGGGGAATGACGAGTCTAGCCAGTAGGTGGCTTCAAGGTGCCTTGTAGCCAGTACCCAGTACAGTCTACCCAGTACTACTCGGCACTCGGGGGCATGAGGCCGAGACGACGTCCACAACCTTCACCAAAAAGGGCCCAAGAGGAAACAGGATCAAAAACCGCTGTGGCGGTGACAGTGATAGGCCAGCAGGCTAAGAGGGGTGTGGGAAAAGAGAAGACGGAGGGTTAGATGGGAGGTCCCCTAGAGGTGATGGGTGGTGGATGGTCACCTTGGCATGAGTTTGATAGCTTGGTCCGGCTGGTGAGCACCAGGTTTAACCAGTGTCAACGAGTGTAACACGGGCTGGAGGGATTGGCCGCTGGACCATTGATGAGCAGCCGATCTCAGTAAGGACTGGTCCCTCCTTACTCTCCCTAATGGTAAGCCAGCCACCCCAAAACGAAGTTAATCTTGTGTTCTATCTCAGATGCTATGTATGTATGTAGGTATACCTTAGCAGTACGAGGTACGAGGTACTTAGGGACTCCAATGGGGAGGCCCAGCCGAGCCCATGTGCGAGGGACGACGACGAGCTGGACGAGCTGGACGAGCCGGACGAGCTTTTCACTAACCAAGTGACTGCGCCTCTGATGCGATGAGAGTGACACTCTGCTTCGTACACTCTTTCTATATTCTGCCCCCCCCCCCCCCCCTCATCTCGCATAACTATTTGCCTCTTCCTCCGTCTATCGTTGAGCCTGTTTATTATAAGTCATTCCTTACTCACTCCGTCTCGTCCCGTGTCGTGCGCGTCGTGTTGTCGTGTCGGGTCGCTAGACAAAGACCTGCAGCGATTAAAACATCCAGCATTCCTACCACTCGACAATCTTCCTTTGTTCTTGTCCTTCGACCATACCTCACCGACTGTCCGCCTCTCCACATACCTCATCTTCTCACCACCACCTAAGTCATCGTCATCTCCGAAAGTTACGGTCCTCCCAACCCGCCTTCCCCCTCCTCCAAGCTTCTCCCCCTTTGTCAACTCGCAGTCCAACAAGTCACCGTCCCCGTCTCTGTCTCTGTCTCTGTCGCTGTCACTATCACCATCACCATCACCATCACCATCACCGTTGTCATTGCTCGCTGAGCTCAGCAACCTTCTGCCCGTCATGCAATAGGAAAACCACTGCCCACACCCCCCAAAAAACATTCATCCACCTGTCGGTTGGCGGTGAAGCTTTTTCTTTCGGTTATCCCTCGAATAGAGAAGAGCGGGCCTGGAACCGAGACCAACTGCGCTGCGCCGTCTCGCCCGTCTGTCCCCATCACGCCGCCAAGTGTATCCCAAACCCACCGCTTTCGGCATCCCAGAGCCTTGTAGCCCCGGCCTTCCACACCACCACAACCACCCATCCCCAGAAGCATGCTTCAACATTCGTCCTCTGCCATCCGGCCCTTCCGCAACGACACAAGTTCATCCTCCACCGACGAATCATCACTCAATTCCGAGCGTGTACCTTTTTTGACGCAGGAACAGACCTTTATTAACTGCCCCGATCTCGAAGATGGCTCTTTCTCAGATCCCGCCGGCGCTGCTGCCGCCGTCAGACCCGATTCCCTCAAAGGGCCCACAGCCACCCGTCTTGAAACCTCGACTTCTATCGATCATCGTAGCTCCAATTTCTTGTCCAGATGGCGCTGGACAGAGACCCTTCCAGTCTGGAACCATTTGTGGGGTGGGCGTCGCACGGTGGGGCACAACGGGCACGTTGTCGAAAGAGGCTCATTACACAAATCCATCCCGACCACACCGCTCAGGAGAGTACTCCGCCTCCTGGCCCTGACGCTGATGCTATTGTAAGAAAGAAAACTGCGTGCCCGCCTTCTTTCCCACCTGCGCCTGCTGACATCGAGTACAGAGGAATCCTCGAGTTCATTGCACTGGCATGCGGCCTTTTCCTGTCCTTCTTTCCCGACGATGCAGACGACGAATTTGACGCATGGAACCCTTCCCGGCGCACCTCCCGCGAAACGGGACATTGGCCAACCGATTTCTCCGCCGACATTCATCCCGTGGCCTGCCACTCGCACAATGACTACTGGCGGAAAGAACCCCTGTTTTCGGCTCTCAAGGCTGGCTGCACAGGAGTCGAGGCCGATGTGTGGCTATACGACCAGGATTTATACGTCGGACATTCCACAGCCTCCCTGACACCGGAACGAACGCTCCGCAGCTTGTACATCAACCCATTGCTGAAAATTCTAGACCAACAAAATCCTCATACATCCTTTCATCCCTCGCGGGACAACCCCCGAAATGGCGTCTTCGACACAAAACCCTCTCAGTCCCTGGTCCTTTTGATAGATTTTAAGAACGAGGGCCATAGGGTCTGGCCCCATGTCTCTGCACAGCTCCAACCTCTGCGAGAGAGGAAGTTCCTCAGTTACTTCAACGGCACCAGCTTTGTCGAGGGTCCCATTACTGTTGTGGTCACAGGCAATGCACCCTGGGACGAGGTTGTGGCAAACTCAACATATCGCGACTTGTTCTTTGACGCACCTCTTGGCTTGATGGGAAAGTTAGCTGACGATAGCGACGCTCCTGAGCCTGCCAAGGACACGCAAGGCGGTGCGCTAGATATGCGCTGGAGTCAAAACCAAGGTCAAGGCCGTTCTGGTGCTGCGCCTGCAGATCCCACAATCTACTCCCAAGCCAATTCTTACTACGCCTCTGTCTCTTTCAATTCGGCCATTGGTTGGCCCTGGCGTGGCACCCTTTCTCGTCGTCAGCTCGAAATGATGCGCAAGCAGATCGCTGGAGCTCACGCACGCGGACTCAAAGTCAGGTACTGGAGCGTGCCCAGCTGGCCGAGAGGAATGAGAAATTATCTCTGGCGGACCATGGTGAAAGAAGGGGTGGATTATTTGAATGTTGACGATTTGAAATCAGCCACCTCGGGTGATTGGAATTGGAACAAGAAAGGTCCGTGGTTCAGTGGGCCGTGGAAGTTTTGGCCATCCAAGACCGCTGCATAGATTATCAAACGGATAGGACACGAAAAACAACGCCATGATTGGAAGGATTGAAGACGAATATTTCCCACTAGATGCGACCAAATGAGACTCCGCACACAAAGACGAGATGATGGAGAGGGGAGCTTTGGTCGAGATTGGCCCTACGAGCTAGAGGCCCCAAAACTACGACCAGGGTTTCACGGACATACAGCCGCCATTGGATGAGCCGAGCAAGGCGTTTATGGGAAAAGGGACGGGATTCTGCATTTTGTTACTGCCAGGGACATGAGCAGCGTTATGATACCCAAGCTTTGGAGCATAAATCGGTTACAGAATGAGTTACAATATAACCATGCTGGGCTTCAGGTGCGAGTGGCTGTCATGCTTACCAGGTACATCTCCATGCTTGTCAGCGTCTTCATTCAGCCGATCCAGCCACGTCGACGCCTTCTAGCCCCCTGCTCGCTCTCTATAGTCGCTAATGCCCCGGTTGACTGTTGCTCCGCGAGGATCCCGACGACGACTTAAAAGATCTCGTCTCTCTCTGCTGCTTGCTTTTGTTCTAGACGTTCTCCTCACTTTGCATTCAATATCGCCGTTACCTGTCTCATGTTACTCTGATTTTGCACTGCATTTACTCCCAACGCATTCTTCGACATACGATCCCCATGAACTCGGTACTGGCTCCTCGCTGATCGCGATGGGCATGGTAGTCGAAGCTTTATTTCCATGGTATTAAGACGTGAAGCTCGCTACGGATTAATCCAATAATATAGGTCGCAATGTTAGCACAAGTATTTGGTCGTTTTCTTCTGTCAGCATCAACTGGAACTTTCCTCAGCCTTGTGCATATTCCTCAGCCTTGTGCATATTCCTCAGCCTTGTGCATATTCCTCAGCCTCGTTGCCTTGTAGCCTCATCGGATGCACGTGAAAGGCTCCGCTCTTCAGGCTTGGCGAGTTTGCGACATCTGCCATCTCGAAGTTCGTGATTCGACCATCCTTTCACTTTCTCGTTACCGACTGTGAGTACAGCGAACATGGCGGCTGCAGCACAGTCGCTCTCGGAGCGGACGCGATTGCTCTTCGGGAGCTCTTATGGCGAAGCGATTGATCCATCGACACTCCCCATTTCCTCCTCCTTCAAGAGGAAGGTCGAATACGAAAGTGTCCGCGAACTACCCAAGGCACTGGCCGAGAAGCAGGCAAAGGCAACGGCTGCGCGAGGACCCAAAAGACCCAAGATGGCAACGGGGAACAATCAGATGGCGTTGGTAAAGAGCGAGGCGAAACCGGACTCACAAGGGCCATCATCGCAAAGTAACGGTATCGGGAGCAGTCTGATCCGCAGACCAAACATGCAACAGCCTCGACCCGACTGGCATGCGCCGTGGAAATTGATGAGAGTCATATCCGGACACCTCGGCTGGGTGCGCGCATTGGCGGTGGAACCAGGCAATGAGTGGTTTGCATCTGGAGCAGGAGACAGGACGATAAAAATCTGGGATCTGGCCACGGGCCAACTCCGCTTGACATTGACGGGTCATATCTCCACGGTTCGTGGACTGGCGGTGTCGCCGCGCCATCCATACCTTTTCTCCTGCGGGGAGGACAAGATGGTGAAATGCTGGGACCTGGAAACCAACAAAGTCATCCGCCACTATCACGGCCATTTGTCCGGCGTCTACACCCTTTCACTACATCCGACGCTCGACGTGCTGGTCACTGGTGGGAGAGACGGCGTCGCTCGTGTATGGGACATGCGCACGCGCTCCAACATTCATGTGCTGTCTGGTCACAAGGGCACCGTCTCGGATGTGAAATGCCAGGAAGCGGATCCTCAAGTTATCACATCGAGTCTCGACGCCACCGTGCGACTATGGGACCTCGCTGCGGGCAAAACCATGGGCGTACTCACACATCATAAGAAAGGCGTCAGGGCGCTGGCTATCCACCCGAAGGAATTCACATTCGCATCTGCGTCAGCCGGTTCGATAAAACAGTGGAAATGTCCCGAGGGTGCATTCATGCAGAATTTCGAGGGCCACAACGCAATCATCAACACTCTGGCCGTGAATGAAGATAATGTGCTCTTCAGTGGGGGCGATAATGGTAGTGTTTGCTTCTGGGACTGGAAGACAGGACATCGGTTCCAGAGTACCGAGTCCCTGGCGCAGCCGGGGTCATTGGATGCCGAGGCGGGTATTATGAGCAGTACATTTGATCAGACAGGGCTGCGGTTGATCATGGGAGAGGCTGATAAGACGATCAAGATTTGGAGACCAGATCCCGAGGCCACGCCGGAGACCCATCCATTGGACTGGAAGCCGACATTGGGCCGGGTAAAATACTGAAGACGTCAGCACTGTTGCTTCGTGCCTGGTGGCTGTTATGGCGGAAATGGATCGCATCGGATGGTATCTTGCATTGAGCGACGGCGTTCGAGGCGCGGTTTTGGAGGAGGGCGATTAGGAGGGCTCTTAGGAGGCCTCTCTGATCACAAGGGTCGGAATTTTAGAAAAGTTTTTGTCGCATGGGAAAATGAATACCTTCTGTTGGTTTCAAGAGGAAGTCAAGGTTGATACCCAAGAAAAGTGATCATCTAGAAGTTGTCTTGGGAGCTCTTGCGGTGGTCAGCGCCCTGCAATGTGCACTGCTGTGGCGTGGCTCGAGGAAGACTATACAATGATATGGTATGATCAATGGCATATACCACTTCGACAATGTGTCACACCAACTCCATTCTCTCATCTCTCATCCCCGTATGTCCGCGAGGGACTTCGGTTGCAGAGTTACACGAGCCCCTATTGTGCGGGGTGTGAGCGTTTGGACCGGATCTGATCGGTCAGTTTGACAAGGCTGACCGCCCCTTTGCCTTGTTTCGTAGCGAATTTTTCAATTGGATTTTCTTCGACAATAATGTAAGTATAAGCAACCGCACGCACATCAGGACACATGTAAGATGCTGTATGTCTCAGATTCTCTCATAGCCACCCACCCGTATGCGTGTCCAGTTTCGACCCACGGATACAAAAGAACCAGATCCCGCGCAAGGTGACGGCCACCCCCCCCCCCCCCCTTTCTCATATCAACAAAAAAAGCTTTGAAGCGCACATTGTATGATTTCTCGTCACTATCGAGACTCTCCATGACCAAGAACGCAATGGCTTGCGATCGCCTCATTACTATAGCTACTGTTTTGCAGTCATCAATGCCAAACGACGAGTGTTACCCCGCATTTCATGGAACATGTGGAAGCAAGAGAGAATAATGCTGAGGCTCGACTTGGCTGCTCTGACGGGGAGGCTATGCCTCGACAGAATACCTGATTAAGACGGGTCTATTGTGACTCAGGCCATGAAAACCACAGGCCATCGAACTGTCTGGCAGCTTAGGGCTAGATCAAAAGCCTGAATTACCGAGTTGCCCATCTTCATCAACCACCACACCACACAGCAGACCTCGTTTGCTCCTCTCACGCCAGCTATTGCGCCTGCCGCATCAGTTTGTCTGCTGGCCACCCTGATGGGTTTGGGTTTGCTGAGCCTGAGCCTGAGCCTGCGCCTGCTCAGTTTGTTGTCGTTGCCGTTGTCGTTGCCGCTGTCGTTGCCGGCGAGCTATTTTCCTTTGCCCCATTGCCCCAAACTCGGCGTCTTGTCGCCTATTCTCCTCTTCGATTTCCCTGACCGCTCTCGCACCCTCTGCCTCCAGAATTCGTCGTATCATTTCTTTTTCTTCTGAATCATGCTGTTATTGATCGTGTTCATGACACGTGTCAAACTGAGTGACTTACCTCTAGTCTCCAGCATCGATATGGCTGCCATATGTATGCCTGGGACATGTGGTGTCCAGCAACTTTCCTTTCCGGTCATGACAGCAACCATTTCACTGCCTTCTAGTACACAGAAAGCGAAAGGGTATGTGATCTTGTCTCTGATGAGACTCAATTCGACTCTAGCGCACCAGGACTTGTGACGGCATGAATGAGCATCGTCGAGTGGCGGGGAAGTCAAATCCAACCGGAAGCTTGTGAAAAGGGCAGAAGTGATGGTGCAGCAAGGGGCATTTTCGTCCTGCACCACCGGCAGGGGCAAATGCTTCCTTTCCCCTCCAGGACGTGCATAGACTTTCAAGATGGGCTCGTTGGGAAGTCCACTGGAGCTAATGGGGGGGAGGTTGGCGACCATTCTGGAAAACGATCTGTGAACGAGTTGAGATTGGAGCCCTTGAAACACGAAATCGAATTATGAAAGAAGGAAAAGAGTGGCGACTCCAACACAGGACACTGCCTCACATTATATACCCAAGGTTCTCTCGTCAGGCTCTGCCTTCTGTTCGAAGGTGGGTGAGCCAGCGTCAGTACTCCTTCCACAATGCAACCATTCAGCGAACATCCTAAGTCAATTCGGGTTACACAGCAGCAGGCGCGACAGGATTCGGGGACACGTAGGCACGTGTCCTGAACAACGACCTTAGGCATCAGTGAGCTGTTCAAAGCGGTCAACTATCGTCGTCCATTCACCATCATCAGCCCTTGTCGTCGTTCCCTCTTGAGGGGGGGCCCGTTCTGCAGCCGGGTTTGAGAGACGAGAATGTAGGCAAACATTGTCGGTGAGCAGTGTTTTGAATGAAACTTTATTGGGTTTTCTTTTTTTCTGATGGTGTACTGAACAAGAAAGCAGCCGCAAGTGACCCCTGCGAATACATGAAGAATGAGGCAGAAGTGATGCCCATGGTCCAACGATCACAGCTTATGAGGCAATATCCTCCTTGACCGGTCAGCTTTCGCGTCACTTCAACCGTTTTTCTTTCAATTCAGAACCAGTAGCACCCCGAATTTCTTTGCGTTTTCGAAGTCCATATAAGCATCAACATAAGGGAGGCGGTGGTCTTCCAGCAGATACATCTCGATACGTTGAGGTTCGTGCGGTCTATCAAGCATAAAAAGATCAAGGCACACGAATTGGTCGCTGAATACTGGCCACCCGTTGAACGTCAAGAGTATCTTCGGTTGACTCAGTCTATGGATTCGTGCGTTGCCTCGCTTTGCGATCGACAAACGGGCCACCATGGCTTTAGCCCCCGAATCTATACAGGCGTTGAAAGCACAGTCGCGTCCCTGGTGTCCGATGTAGAAAAGCGGTAGCTCAGGACCGATCTCCTGGAGGTTCCTGCCAAGGCTTCGGGACCCAGGGGACAACGATTCCTCAGCATTATCGTCTGCTGCGGACATAGGGATGGATGGAAACCCAGGTTCCCGTATGCCACGTGTCTGCATGTGTGGGGCAATAAGGTACGAAAGGTCTGGAGGTACATGTGTCAAGGCTGACCGTGAAGTCCTCGTGTAGGTGTAGTTTTCGCAGATTTCCAGATTGGACACGTCGTTCGCGATCAGCGAGTCTGCGGGATTTCGATGGTGCTCATTGCTAACGGTTCCTTCCATACTTCCATCTGAGGAATATTTGCGCTCTTCATACACGTCAATTTGCTGAATAAATTCCCCAGATTGATGTATTTGCTCAACCATTCGCGAGAGAGCTCTATTATCATCATTTGTGGTCCTAATAACAACACGAAACGTGCGGGTATTTTCAACTTGTCCGCAGGCTGGTACCTCTTGCTGGATCGTTCGCATATCTCGACTGAGCCCGTCGTGAGACATCAGGGAGATTGTATGGCGAACGCCACTTATTCTTCCTTTGTGTGTGAATGCTCTTTGAATTGGCTAACAATGTCGTTGCGTGCACGCCGTGGACCTCGACGCGAGTGTATGCAGGAGAGCCCGTTGTTTCCGGCCCTTCTCTCACAAAAGGGACAGCTCGGGTGTCGTGGATCAAAACGAGAGAGGTATATCGAAAGGCTTGGCCGACTGAACCTGGAATTCTTCGCGGTGTAGGTCACGCTGAAGGGGAAGGAGCAGCAAAACGAGGGTATCGGGCACAGGCAGACACTGAAGAAATCGATTTCAAAATCAAGGATTATGGCGACGAGAAGGCGTCGCTAAAAAGAGCAAAGAGAGTCCGCAGAAGGTCAGAAAAGACGGTGAAGAAAGATGCCAGAATTGGCTCGTTGAACAGTCAACACGCAGCCAATGTGGCAGAAAAAAAAGGGGGGGGGGAGACCGGAAGAGCCTCGCTGAGCAGATCAACGACTGACGCGTGGATGAGAACAGGTCGCCACTGCAGCTGAATTGCAGATGCCGGCTCGGCGACGTCGACGGGGTGGCTTCTCCGGGCCCTAAAACTGCACGAAGGAGAAACAGGTAGAAACAACTCTGATGTGTCTCCCCGTCTCATGCAGTTGGGCGCAGAGCCATCAGAAGAATGCCCTCACCCACAGCCGGGCTCCCTATTCAAAACCATGGCACAGGCTCGAGCCATGGCAGATTTCCCGTATGCATGGCTCCGGCCTACACTGAGGGAAGATGGAACCACCGCCAGAGTCGGTGTCTCATATCTGAACAAGCAGGTACTGTCCGTGGCATGTCTCGAGAATCATTTGAAGTATCTTTGTGCTGATCTGCAAGACTTGCTCTGTGACGGCACGCAACAAGCCCCAGCTTGATGCCATACTTACGACTTAGGGCTTAGGGCTTAGGGCTCCCTGAATGGGGCCCATCAACCCCAAAGGTTCTGGGTCCCGGAAGCCGCGTCGACGGTTGCTGTTTAGCGTGAGGTTAGCCAGCTGGGGCCGTAACCAGGCGGTGATGACAGGACATAGTACCTCGTACATACTCAGTACTTTCCCTACCTGTGAAATTGTCCACTCAAGCAGAGTCGACGTCGATTGCCTGAGGATGGACATCCAACCAACCGGTACCTGCATCCGACGCAAGAAAGGTGTAATGTCGAGGATAGCATTTGAACAAAACCTTGACGGGCTTGTTGGCCGTTGTCGAGTGCAACCAACTTCTTCGTGCGAAAACGGACTCGGGAGGGCGAGTTTGGAGAAGACTGGAGGACAAAATTATACGACAGGACGTTGCCGCCAGGGACGGGCCTTTGCATCATACCAATGGGCTGATCCGGCGCTGTGCAACTCGGCAATCTGTTTTGCCGTGGTCGGTGGCCATTTTTGCACATGTGTACCCAGTACTGGGTATGTTGTTTTCTCGTTTCTCAGTGTGCGTCACGTGAGCTTGACCCGAATCAGGTGCGTTTCCTTTCCGCCGAGACGCATAAAAATCAAAACCCAAAAGGTCAACAGTCAAGAGGAGAAGGCACATATACGTACCGCCGACCAGAGGTTGATTGGCTCTGCTTATCATGTCAATGTCGAGCTGTTCCGATCAAAATGAAGGATGCAATCCCCCTTTTCTACCTTCGTGCCGGAACGTGAGCATCATCCACACCAAGCTTCGAGGTGTTAAGCGGAGATGACCCCCAATTATTAGCAGCTAGCGCTCTCGCGTGGGCGTTTCGGGGAGTTGTTTTTTTTGGAGAGCAGTGTCGTCTGAGGTCATACGTATCGCCGACTTGACAAAAAGGGAAGGAGAGGTATGTGCCCGGAGAGCGCGGCAAACAGATATTGGTGCCAGTCACCCCAGGGAGTGGAGAGCAGCGAAAGTTGAGCAGGGATAGGGACGGGATAGGGGAAGCTTTCGTCTTATTTATACTACCCAGTCCATCTGCTCTGCAACTTTGGATAAGCAGGCCAGCCAACCCTGACAGCTCAGCTGTGGCGTTGTTCTTGTTCAATCGCGATTCACGCTTCATATTGGCCCTATCAATGGCGCCTTCTCATCTGCACCTCCTCCAATCTGCAACAACTGATCAATGGCATTCGCTGTGACATGCAGCTATGCAGCTATGCAGCTATGCAGCTATGCAGCCTTCATCTGCACGAGCTAGGGCTTTGATGCGAACACATGTTCCAAGCAGCATCCCAGCGGGAAATGTCACTTGACGCTGCTTGTGCTGCTGCATCCCACCCTTGCTTGGCCGCCGACGACTCTTCGCTCCTGCCAGCCGCTCCCTCCCTCTCTGTCTAGAAATCGATCTCGGGCAGCGTCTGCATCTCGTCAGGCAGCAACCTGGAGCCAGCACAGAAAGCAATGAGGCTGTGACTGCCAGCGGCGCATAGTTGTACCCTATATGATGGCGCTCCTCGTCGCTGACCGCCTTCTCGCCGCCCAAGTCCTCCCAAGCCTGTCTGTTCGGCGCTGCACTCCAATATGCAAGGATACGACTATCTGTGTTCGGATATGGTCAAATATCCAGAACTGGCCATCTTTCGCAAATTCAAAATCCTGAACTACCGTGCGCTGCTATTCTTGCAAGCCGAACTGACGCACAAAGAGGGCCGGCTCCTCGCTGCGATCCGAGCAGATCGAAATTCCGGCGACCCTGAAAGGAGTCAGTTTGCCTTCAATTTCGAGGCCATGCTCCAATCCAGGAGCGATATCGAGGGGGCAAGAGTACAACGGAAGCTGATGCGGGAGATTTGCCGTCTGGCCAGAGACTACAGCACGTGGTGGACCTCTTCCAATATACCTCGTTCTTACTTTTGGTCTCGGCTGACTTTTGGCTGTTCGTTTCTTGAAAAGATGAATTACTCCTCCAAAATCGCGAACTCGACGACCTGCCTCAGGTCCACAAACCCAGTCTCGCGTGCCTCCGAGCGGCTCAGGTGAGTATTCCGGACAGACGACTGTTTCTGCGCGGCCGCGAGCTCCATACGTGGAGCAAGAGAAAGGAATACGACCTCACATCCCTGACGGACCAGAAGGAGGGCAGAGACCCGCTCTCCTCGTGGCTCGAGTGGTTCATCACCAACGTCTTCCACAAGTACTACGGCTCTGGACATTACGACCCGGACCCCGTGGACGAGGACTGGGCGCCTGCCGTCCCGACCAAGCTGGTCCAGTACCCGCAGAGACACATCTCGCGGAGCGTCACGGCTGTGACGACGATCGTGGCGCCGGTCCTGCCCACCGTGTCGGCCTCGGCCCTGTTTTTCATCGACAGCGAGCTCACGCGGCTGGGCATCATTGTGCTGGTGAGCTTCCTCTTCAGCATCGCGCTGGCGTGCGTCGGCGTCCCGCGCAGGATCGACTCCTTCGTCGCCACTGCCACCTTCACCGCAGTCTTGATTGTCTTTATCGGCAATAACTCGAGCTGCGCGTGCTAAGAGGGGGAATGACCGTGGACCTGGACCTAGACTGGGCAGGGACCGCGCCCGTTTAAGAGACAGACAGAGACAGAGACAGAGACAGAGAAAAAGAGGAAAGACTGATTCGTCAGCTCAGTTCGGGTCATATTACCTTTGGCTGCCCTGGAGACGACGTCAGCGTGCGTGCGTCCTGTACTACGCTACCATGTGCATATGCACGTACATCGATCTCTACCTGACCTCCAGGTTCTAGCAAAGCTCTTCGACATACTTTCGGTCTTTATAGTATTTTGTATTACTTTCTAAGAAAATAGAGGATGATGATGGTTACAAGTACCTCTAGCTATTGTTTCTTTCATTTCCTTCGGATCTCAATCCACAATTCCTTTCTCTGCCGGGGTTGTTGGCCGCCTACGTATTACGTTCATGCACATCTATATATATAGACACACGATTCCGGAAAATCTCCCACCCGCTTCCCGTGACTCCAAGCTCCAGCTATGTCTTCCTTCAGCCTTCTGTCCCTGCTTTCTTACATGGTAGTGAATGTGTAGCTGAGATGACCATTCAAGAGTCTCCTTCCGAGAGCGAGAAAGCGAAAGAGGACTGCTTCCTTCTCCGTGTGCCCCAGACACATTCGCTAGATGCAGATGCAAATGCGAGAACAGAAACCCACTGTATCACGCTGCTGCTGTTGGTTGGCACTTCCTCTCACGCGTGACTCGTCATGGATTCTGTTTCTAGGCTCCCCCCTCTCTATGGGACCATGGCGAATTATTGGAGCGTCCGCGCGCATGGGGAGGGAGTGGACAAGGGGAAGGAATACCCCAAGAGGTGTCTGCGGAGAGAGCCTTCACCTAGACTCAGGGGTCAGGACACCTTAGGTATTACCAAGCCTGAGTCGGCGTCACAGGCGCCTCGTGGAAGCCACACTGCTTGGGCGATTATTGCGGCGACAAGTTTCCATATGGGATGGCAGGAGTGGTCATTTGTATCATGTCTCCAGAGTCCAGAAACCGACACGTGGTAGGCTTGTTGCTCGAAAACGAGCCTTTGCCGCTACCAGGGCGAAGGTGAGAAGAAGAAAGAAAAAGCGCCATGAGTTCGTGAGATCAGGTTCCTATGTAATACGTTTAGAAATTGGTGTTTGTCCTTCGGCAAGACTCTGACCATGGCTAAAGGGTTAGTCAAAGAGAGAAAAAGAAAAAAAAAAGATGGATCCTTTGGAATTGGCATGAGCACGGTTCCACGGTCAAACAATGAGTCTCTCTTACCTATGGTAGCTCTTGTGCGCGGACTTACATATGCGGGCTCCAGGGAGCAAGTAAACGGGCAGCCGCCAGACGCTACCGGACCACGGGCTCGAGAGCAAGACAGACAGGGCTTTTCAAGGACGCACGACAGGGGACGGCGCCGTATATCATCAATCTTGAGATCTCATTCCGGACCAAAGAAGAAATAGCCCTTCTGCTCGCGCTTTTCTCGTCGCTGTAACTACCTGCCCTGTTGGTCTGAAGATTCATGGGGCAGGGTCTTCAGTTTTTGTGGGCCGCAGCGACACAAGGCTGACAACCCCTGGAAAGTTACAGCCCTGTCGACATGACGCTGAAGTGAAGAGCTTCCTCTTGTTTAATGCACACACATAAACAGGCCTTGTGAAGCTGGTAGACATGCTCCGCAGGATCTCTATCTATTATTGTTCCAATCATTCCTACCAATCTTCACTCCTGTAACGCACGTGACCGAGAAACACTCGACGTGGCTTATTAGCCTCCTTTTCACTCTCTCACCGCCATGTTTTATCCTTTTCCCAGGTGCGTATACGTACCCCACTGAGAGAGAGCAACACTATGGAAAACATACAAGAATTTGGTAATTCTCCATGTGACCTTGCCACTGGCATTCCGAGGTCTAGCCAAGGGCCCCTTGTCCTTTCCTCCAGCAAGGGTCAGGGCGTGCCTTCATGGAGGATAAAAGGATCGCGTCTGCCCATGCCGCCTCAAGAAGTGTGTTGCTGCGTCGAGGAGCTTCCTCTTATCTCCTTGTCCTTTTCACGTCTCTGTTCGTCTTTCTTCCTGCTTTTCTCCTTCTCTCTGTTCTTGGCCCTTTGTTTCGCTTCTGCCTTGCTGCGATTTTGATCTATGAAAGGTGATTAACCCTGCGCAGGACGCCAGACAAAACTCTGTAAGTTGCGCCTACCTTTGTTGTTCTCATCACCCTGATTTGCAATTGGGAAGACTGCGGACTGCGTGCCGTCTGGTATCAGAGATCTGTTCAGAACCACGCCCCGGTTCTCGTCCTCGACGATGCAGAAATCCTCTTGGCCGCCAATGTGACCGATCTCCGATTGAAAGCTCAAATTAATCGTGCCAAGACAGCTACCGGGCAACCCTGGATGAGAGTGTTCTTCTGGGTCCGGTATCTTTTGCTGCTGAACGACTTCTCGCAATGTCTGAAGATCGATTCTGGGGCGAGGTATGCTACGATCTATCGATGCAAGCAGCCATATCCATAGCCCTGGTTTCGCGACGTCATTTAGGATTCTAATCGGCTCGCGACTCTCACCCACTTCCTGGTGTTGTTCGCCCTCGACTTTGGGCATACTGATGCAATCTGCTGCCGACGTTTTCGATGTATTCGTGATGGAACTATCTAAATTGCTTTACAAGAAGAATGGGGTGGTATAAGAGGTTACTGTCCAGCCTGAGAAAAGGAAATCGCTGCCTCTTCTACTGCAACTGCTCGCAAACAAGGATCCTCCTGAACGGGGCAACCAGAACAGGGCTTCTATGAACAGATCCATCCAGTGGAAGTGTGAAGAGGATTGAGGCGGCACAGCAGCAAGTCCTGTGCAGCAACAACGGGTATTAGAGCCCCTTCATACGTGCCTAACATCACCAGGTCTACTTACACAGCCACGACAACACCGAACAGGAGAGGCTATTGAGCTCAGCCAGAAGGACGGGCAGTCCCACACCGTTCGCCCGTGCTCTCTGAACCAGAAGTGGCGGCCAATAAAGATCTTCTTTCTGCGAAGAGACTCATACACAGGAATATCGGTGAAGGCTCTCGAATTATATTCTATCGATAATATGTACGCTCCTGATTTGTACAGCAGACCAGACGCCCTGTTCGATGTGCTCTCTTGCCACGTCACTGATCCAGACAATCACCAAGACAGAACGGTACCCTCCATCAGCACACATGATCATACCCTACACCGGTCGCGGCATGGCCCTCTCGCATTCCATGCATCGAGGTCGATGAAGATGCTTGAGCTCCATAGTCAGGCCCACACCTAGAAGGGCCTGGTGCCCACCCAGGTCATGCACAAGATGGAACACAACCCATCGTTCCTTGGAATTGCAACGGAGCGAGAACTTGATCCGAACAGTTCCTAAAGAGAGAGTCGGCTTCTCCCCAATGCCTTTCAACATAGTGCCACTGTTTTGGTCAACGGTACCGCACCCCAGCAACTCTGCCCTTTCTAGAGTCATCACGTTGAGGTCAGCGCCGGTGTCCATTGTTGCGAAAAAGGCAATCACGTCGCCGTCAAGCTTCCACACAAGTATCTCGATCCTCCTGTAAGAAGCCGCCAGGGGGTCAATGCACGCCCTGTGTGGCTCTCGCACAGGGAAGACGGCTGCCACACTCTTGGAATAGTCGCTCTCTTCGCCTTGGCTTCGTGGTTGGTCATCATCCTTCGAGCGGCAGGAGCGATTTCTGAAGTCTAGACCGAAATTTACGGTCGCAAGCTTTGGATGACAGGGAGGAGTGTGACGATTGGCATGAATATTTCGCCTCGCAGCCTTGTGAAACTTTCCATCACTACGGGCGCTACAACAGCTAGCATTTGACCCTGCATCTTGTGCTTTGCACCAAAGTCCCCAGGGCAAATGTCTGCTCAAGCTGAGCCATGAAGCCTCTATATATCGTTGCCTCCATTTTGCATGTTTCCCATAGTTGCAGAACCGACTCCTGAAACTCTTTGGAGTGTTTGTAGCGGTCTCAAAGCCGCTTTCATGTCGTGACGGCAATGTGGGGATGCTGGAAATTGCTTCGGCATGGTGAGTTCGACTGGGATCAGGGTAATGGATTTCGGGTGGCAATTGGATTGCGTCCTGCGTTGCTGCTTCTCCATCATTTTCATTGCTGTTGAGAAAGATGTTCACAGTGATTGGTTGCTTGCTGGTTTTTTGTCCAGAATGGATGTGAATTTTCAGAATCATGAGGGCCGCGTCTCCGAATGAAGTTCTTGGGGAGGAGGGGAGGTTGGACGAAAAGCGGCTCGTAAGAGAACAGAGAATAATCAACGAGAGAAATTTCGGCTCTATTCCAAAGGACCCAAAGGAACACGGCTGTTCACGAGGGGTTCAATGAGAAAGGTACAGTACAGACAACTGGAGAAAAGAAAACTGGCATACAAAAGGTCGTTGAAAAAGGGGCTGGAAAAGACTGCACGAACCAGAGCATGGAGAGTACGGAGTACGCAGGGGTTTCCCGCGCTTCACGCTTCACGCCCTTCGACTGTGACTGACCTTGCTTAGGGCTGAGGTACGGTGCGAAAATGGCTACATTTTCTCACTCGACGCTTCAAGGATTGGTCGGAGAGGCCACAAGACCAGCCGAACCATGTCGCGGGTGAAGAACCGCCTGGTAATGAGTACTCGGTACATCGTACAAGGCGCTGATCTGCAATGGCGGGAAGCGGGCTCGTGGGACTTTGGCTACTCTAGCCAGGAGTAGCAATCATTTATCAATTGCCGCGACAGAACCAGGCTCATGGTCGTCCAAAGGCTCGTGGTTCGCTCCATGTCGTCGTTCGAAAATCCCATCAAGGTCGCTGAGGCGCGTACATTGCTTTTCGAGGCTGCCCAGAATGGCGTATCTGGTTTCTCGCGGATGCGGTGATGTCGGCCTAGCGTGATGGGTTGTAACCGCGTTTATGCGTGTTCGAAAACATTAAGGGATGGACAGGCACTTGGAGGCGTCGGCAGACCCTGCTAGCTTCTCGAGCCAGATTCCTCGCGAGATTTCAATCCACTGGTAGTCCCGGAGTCTAAGCAGCTTACCAAAAGGTGAAACAAGGGCCCACCAGGGCTTTTCTCTCAGACTCTCACATCGCACCTTTGACTCCCCGTTCACACACAAAGATGGCTTCACAGCTGCCCGGCAGTTCCTGCGACGAAATGAATCCCACCATCGCAACAACCAAGGAGTTGCGACCATCATTCCGGTCGGCCAAAGCTGGGCTGAATTTCGGGACACAACCGTTCGAGAATTTTCCTGCGGCCATTGGCGCCGCCGACGAAGTAGCTGGTCATGATTGCTCTGCCGCCGAAGGTGAGGTGCTCAATGGTCGTCCGAGGTTAATCCGCATCTGCCAGTCTGTTCGCCCAACGCTCAGCTGTGCCGCGGTCAGCGGTATTGTGATGCCGCTGATTTCCACGCAACACTCAAGGACATTTTTGCCTTGGACTCGTGAAGCCAGAAACAGGAAGAAATCGAGGTTGAAGAGACAGGCGAGGAGGGGCGCGGGTGGTTCAAATCCAAATATATCGGTACGGAGCAATGAATTCTCCTAGTGGTAAGGCTGGTGTTCGCTGCCGACCTGCCCAAATGGGTCTTCGCACGCATCTTCGTTCGTTAGCCTCCCCGGTGGGTTCTGATTGCCATAACCGAATCCTCCTCCATCACTCGGTACTGGGTACTTGAATTGATTTGCAATCCAGCAGTAGCTAGGCAAAAGGTCACAGATAAGGTGAGAGAGACTGCGCAAAGGAAAGAAGACCGGCAGCTGAGGTCGTGGTGGGTTGCACTGAGATTAAGAATACTTGTGCGTCGGGACCCTGCTCAGAGCCCCTGAGCGCTCACTTGTCACAATCACAAGCCATACCCGGTCTCTTTTTGGGGGGCTGTGAAGATGTCATTGGCGGCGGCGCGAGACCGCCATCTCGAAGCGTTTGGGGTTGGCCTGTGGCTCGCATCTTGATGAACCTCTCTATTGAGGGATCCTGCGCCTACATCGTGGCTCATTCGTTGCTGGCTTGCAGAAGTTAGCCCAATCACCATGACCATCCGCCCGGCTACTGGTCTGCTCTGCCCTTGGGTACACCATGCAGCTAGGTCTGCCACCTCAGAGGTGCATGCGGTGAAGGGGGTGTGAGCCTCATTTTGCACGTTAGACCTCGCTGTCCCTGGGTTTGTGTGCGATGAAGGCTGTCTTTCAGGAGGTGCCGACGAGATGACTTCTGCCCCCGAGCACGCCCCAGCGATGGATGAAACAATGAAGGGCTACAATGAGATTGCCGGATGGATGGGATCCTACCCCCAGCTCGCCATCTTCCGAAGGTTTCTCATCTTGAACGCCCGGAACCTGCTCTGCCTACAGGGGGAGGTGGTGAACTGTGAGCATGACCTCCGGGTGGCCATTGAGGACGACCGCAATGCAGACGACCCCTTGCGAAAGCAGTTCGAGTATGATATCTCGGCTATGAAAGGTCCCCACGAGCACCCTCGTACTGGTCTACAGTGGACTAGAACTCTGGAGATGCGCGGACTTCTCAAAGAGTACAGTGCGTATCACCCTCCCCAATCCGCGCCCGGCCTTGGAAAAGCACTTGTGTTGACAAGTTTCGTGCCTGCCTACTAGACACGGCCCTTCTCCAATTTGCCGCCCTTTGTCGGCTTGCTCCTGTAAACCAGCCCGACTTGGCCACGCTTCACGAACTGCTCGAGAAGTCGGACGGCAGTGAAGAGCCGTTTTTGGAGGCTCACGAGTTTGAAACATGGGATGAAGAAAACATCACGGACATGACTTCTGTGGCCGGACTCTATACCGACAGAGACGCCCTGTCAAGATTCATCGACAAGATGGTGAAGTCTGTCTACCACAAGCACATAGGCCACAAATTCCATGATCCCATCTCGGTGGCGGAAGCATGGGCTGGTGCAGCAAAGCACAAGCGCATCATAAACTATCCTGACAACTACATCACGACCACCATCGACACGCTGTCCACCATTCTGGCCTCGGCGCTACCAACCATTGCCGCGTTCGGCATCTATCTGATAAACAATCCTATGACGAGGATGGCGGCTATAGTAGCGTGCACTCTGCTCTTTTCCACAGTTCTCTCGCTCCTTGCCCGACCCAAACGAGTAGAATGTTATATAGCGTCGGCGGCCTTTGCAGCCGTCCTCGTCGTCTTTGTCGGAAACTCGAACGGAAATTCGAACGGGAATACGGGCTAAGATGGCGGTTTGGGACAGGACAAAGGAGCTGGAAGGTACCAGGACGGCTGGCTTCGCCAGGGGGGGGGGGGGGGGCACCGATGTTTTGTCGTGATGGTGGATTGGGGCGTTTGCGAGATATAGTATGTATGGTCACAGCCTTTGTGCTTTCCATGATGATGACAATGATGATGATAATGAGACAAAAACACGCACGCATTCGTTTCCTGCTCCGAGAATCAAGTTCGGCCATACCGATAGATGTCTTTTTCAGTTAGCAACATCAAATCACATCACATCCTCCTTGGGTTTTGTCGTCAATAGCCAAAACACCGATGCCATCTCATTCAAACCTGAAACCGGTTCTTGTATCTTTCCATCACTTCTTGAATCTTCTCTGCGCGCCCGCCACTGCCCCCGGCCAGTCGCCGTGGTCTCTGCATGCGGACTGCGCCTGATTTTCATCGACAGATCGCGGATGCCATCGGGAAGGAGACTCTCGAGGATAGCGATTACGCGGCGAGAGAGGCCATCAAACAATGAAAAGGACACGGATGATTCTTCGTCAACGATGTCAACGATGTCAATCGGTCAGATAGCCAGAAGCAACGTCAAGTGAATCGAGTAGAAAAGGAACCATTGTGATTCTAGGCAATTCATTGCGGCTCGCGGCGGGCTAAATCCATTCTCCCGCTGCCTGCCAAATGGGGTTTGTCCTAGAGGAGTCGGGCTCGTTAGGCTCATCATCCCCCTCCCCTGAAACGAGAGCCAGCTGTCTTCCTCAAGCTGACCCAGTCTCGATGAGAAGCAACCCTCCATCCAAACGACTCGGTCCAAACTCAGGTGGTCATCCGTCTGAGCGCCTCCTGCGTGGTCATCACCTCGCCGAACGCGAACTTGAATCCTCGAATGCCCGCTTCGTGCTGTCTACTATTCGCACTGCCACAAGCATCGGATATAACCCATGTCTCATACCCGCGATTGAAGGCCGCTCTACCTGTCGTGTCGACACAACAGTCCGTCATGACTCCGACGACAATTACCCGCTCGATGCCCGCGTGCTCGAGGATGGTTGCCAAGGGTGTGTGAATAAAGGCGTCATAGGTATTCTTGGGCACGAGCTTGGGGAACTCAGGCGCCGTGGGCTCCGGTAGGGACTCTCCAATGGTGACCTGTTGTTTTTGTTGTGGTTGGCATTGCTCGGCTGTTCTATTCAGATAGTTCCGAGGCAGGAATTTATGCAACTTGGGCATGATCTCTCCCTTGGGCGAGCCTTCGCCGATAGAGCCAGACACCCCCCACTTGCGGACCAGTTGGCTGCGCGAATCTGGGACCATTTCTACCTTCGGATGGCCGTGCTTCGTGAACACAATGGGCGCCGAGGTCGCTGAAAAATGCTCGCACAGCATGATGATGTTTGGAAGGGCCGTTGTGGTCATGGGCTCGAAGACGACTTGCATATCGACCACCAGCAGTGCCGTTTTGGGAGCCATTTGGCGGTGTGGCTGTTCGCTTGCAGCTAAGAATAAGCGATGGATGGTGGGCGAAGGATTCGAGAAGGAGGAGGAGGAGGTGGTGGTGGTGGTGATGGTGGTGATGGTGGTGATGGTGGTGATGGTGGTGTTTGGGCATGCAACCAGGCCACAGGTTTCGTCGGCTTGGAGGCCCCAGAGATGGATTGGAAGAACAAAGGACGACAACAGTGAGCAGCACAAGTCCTCTAACAGGGGGGCCAAATCTGCAATGCACCGTTCGAATCGTCCCGTTCTGTGTGTGCTGCTCATGAGACTCTTGCAGGAAGCAACCAGCAGCATTCGGACCAATTACGTCAGCTTCAGAGATTCCGTCTTGTGCCGCTTCACTTTCCACACCACGCGTCTCTCGTCTCTTTCCTCGTGAGCCTCACCGCTCCCAGAGATCTGCGTGACAGCTGTCGTGAACACTATGCGCTGGTTTTACCACCCTTCCATCACCACTCCAAACGCAGGGCTGAGGTCGAGATAAGATTGCCACTGATTGGGCCTCGTTAAATTAGCCTCGACTCCGCGCCATGATGCGAACCAAGGTGCGAACAGGTGGATCCTGTGCGGGAATTGCCTGATTGAGAGTAAGGGACTGACCATAGGCGCCAAAGTGTTCAGTCGAATGGGGCCATGGGCGACGACGACGCAACGGTTCGTCCCGGCCATAGCTCGCCTTGGTCCAGAATCGTTTAACGCGGCCGCAGAACGCAGGGAGGTCAGGCGGACACTCGGTATCGTCGAGCAGATCAAAATTTTTGTCGACCAGAGTTCCGGATGGGCTCGTTCAAGTCCTCGCAAGTTTGACGTGGTCGGGCATCACATACAAATCGGGCGCAGGGGTGAAAAGGCGGTGTACCTACTAGTCTTCTAACTAGACACGAGGCTATCACAACGCCGCAAGGCTGAAGATGCACGACAGTCTGCAGAACAGGGCCTGCTCGAGGGTCGACAAGGCAAAGGTAGGTGGTCGAACACTACTGAGAGGCACCGGTGGGAAAAAGAGGTCAACAAACAGCGCGAAGATGTGTCGCGGACTCAGCAGAACCTCAATAATGCAAGCAATGAATCTCGAGAGAACTGCAAGGGACGATGGGCTTTTACGTACGCATAACTCGTTTGCATTGTTGTTATTATGTTCAGCATCCTGTACAGACCCGATTTGTTGGTTGCACTGTTCAGTGTCACTTGGAGACCTGGTTTCTTAGTCTATAGGATTTTCCTTTGCTTAGGGCTTCTATAATGTTGTCTGGCCTCTCTCTTTCGGTTCAAAAGAAAGAGAGGGCCAGAAAAACGGGCAAGATCCTCAATCGACACTCCCGCCTCGCTTTTTTGGGCTTGCCCGCCCGTCCTCAGGGTACAGTCCACCGCGGCAGGGTGGTACCGATTAGACAGGCCCCACATGTAGATTGACTCCCTTCGTGACTTTCTCAGCGTCTGGATAGAAAGTCCTTGGACAATGTTCGGTGGAAGTGTAGGCGCGTTCGCCCTGATAGGAGCATCTGCACGTATGTAGCCCTAGTCATCCCGAGCTTGCTGCATTGATTACGGCCCCAGCTCCCGTCTCGAGGGCACTGAGTAGTGCCAGACAACATGCCAGGAGCATGTCGATCATGAGATATTATTTTCGACGTCGGTTGCTATGAGACCACATCTCTCCCCAAAAAGGATCGTGTTTTTGCTGCACTATGGCATAAACTTAGAGTCACGGCCGGATGCAGTCGAGACTGGACGATGATTTTTGCTTGAGGAGAGGGGGAAAGCCCTCCCTCTGGCCAACAAGCAACAGAGCTTCCTGCTGGAAGACAGGAAGTAGAGTGTATTGTCGGCCATCCAAGACAACCAGGTCGTGCTGGTATGCATACGGGGCCAAAGAGTTGCGATCGATTTTTTTTCTTCCTCAAGTCAAAGAGCGATATGATGACCTGTTCGATATTGAGTAAGAAGGGGGCCGTGCGCGAAGTAAAGCCATCTTCCCGCGCCAAATTGTTTCCCTGTGAAAGCAATTAGAGTCTGGGGGGTTTTGACTTCAAGATCGACACTTGCCACTGTACAGGAGGACGTTCATATCGGAAGTGAGGGAAGAGAGTAGATGGATTGAATGCGAACTGATGGTTTCGGAGGCAGAGGGAGGCAAACTCGTATCACTTCAGCTTGGAACCCTCTGCAAGCCCAGGAGCGATGAGAAGGTTAGTGGATGGGATGAAAAGAAGAGAGAAGAGATATTGTAGCTGGGTTTATGCGCAACTGTCCTGCCAAGGTGCAAAGAAAACAACCCAAAACAAAATATGTGCGGCATTTGACCAAGGCGAAGTCAAAGGGAGTTGAAAGAATGGTGAGTGCGAGGCTGGTTGTTATGGTAAGTGCATCATCTCTGTGCAATTTTCATTCTCCTGTGGGACGAGAAGTCGAGCTTGCTGCAGGTGATTCAGCTCGACTGCGCCTTTGGATCAGTGTGGTGTTTGGTATTTGCAAGGCGGCTACTCTGAGTAACGAGAGTGACTTGGAGCCGGAACCAGACTTTGCAATGTCTGAAGAATGAGTGTTTATCTTCGGCAACCGTGCCGGAGCTGTTGACTTGGTCACGGCGTGCTGGGGTGACTCGTTCCCACAATGTCCCTGTTCTATCGACCGTCTTCCTGACCGTGAAGCCATAGAGTAGATGGAAGCCCACAGAAGTGCTTGATTCAACCACACTGGCGGGTAGATAGAGATAAGTACTCCCATTGTTCGGGTGACAAGTGCGGAGACCAAAGCCCGTTACCCCCTCCTCCTCTTGGTCCATCAACGTCCTGCCACGAAGAAACTGAGAACGGACCTTTTCCTCCTTGTGCGCATCCACAGGGTCGCCTGAAAGCATTGTGCGGCACCAGAACGTTGAGTGGACCCTGAAAATCACAACAACGCAGAGAGCGGTCCAGCTCAATCCCGGTTTCAACTGGCTGGAGAGAGGAGACAGTGCCCTGTTGGGGACAAGGCGTCTGAGTTGACAATGCGTCAACTGGGGCAAATCCAACCCTATATCCTCCTTCTCAGAAGATACCACGGTCTCGTACACGTGAATTATTGCGGTGGCATGTCGAAAGACGCTGGGGTGCAGAGAAGACACCGCTATAGTAGGAACAAGGTCTGAGCATGATCATCAGTATGTATTCAGGCAATTCAGACAACAGCAACGATTTGAACCTACCTTCGGGGAGGTCCTAAGGATCTTTGGGGAGCATCAAATGCGACAACGCCAGCCAACCAGAAATGTGTTAAGCCACAGATGACTACCCGCATGTCATTGAGAGCCCAGATCTTGACTCTCATATCATCCCCTGCGAAACCCTGATAGCCAAACACAACGCGTCGAAATCGACGAAGCCATCCAAGCTCCTCTCCGCTCTGCATATCTCACAATCCAGCATCAGCTGAAGCATACATATTTCGTCAGCGATAACACGTAACCCAGACCGCCCAAGACACCGGGGTGGGATATCTTGTCAAACTCCGTTGTCCTCGACAAGACATATCCGTGGTCGCAAACTGCAATGGAGAGGTCAGACTGGTGGCGCGACCAGAGTTGAGAGATAGTGCGACGAGGGAAGCTTTGAAGTCTCCGACGGCTAATCGGAATCAGGGTAAGACACAGCCCGTCTGCAGCCTCCTCATGGGTTCAGCTGCCATCCACCACCTCACTTAGATGTCTAGATGCATTCCTCTCAGGGTGGTCTCCGATCCGAATTTTCGAGCTTCGCTCTCGATCCTGCCGCTTAAATGTCGGTCTGACAAGGCACTAATGTAGGATCGTCTCAGTTGTGCCTTACTCTTGTCGTACGACGGCGAGAGAAGGGTGGTGGCGGCCAGCCTCAAAAGACCGGGAATGAAATCAACAGTGGGTTTGCCCTCCAGTTGCTGATCTCGTCAAAACACCCGACAGATTTTGCGTCGCAACGGAGCTTGAGGCACGGGTTTGATGGCGCATGAAGATCGCAAGTAAAATCGCTACCAGCGCGCAAGTGGTATTCAAGGACATCGACGGTATATACCTCGGTGCCCATCGGTTTGGATACAGTTCGGATGTGGCGATCTGTAAACACGTAAATCAGCGCCATGGACAGCTAATGGATATGCGCACTGGGAGAGAAGGTGGAGGGAAATTCTGTGAGGAATGCAAAGAGGAGTATAGAGATGGACCCCGGGGCCTTGAATAGAGGGTCCTCAATGTGAATTTCTCGCAATTTCTCATTGTGCAAACAGATTGGTAGTAGATTTATTTCGACTTACCTGTGATATACTTCCGGATGTATTGATGATGGCAATAGCACAGGCTCGCATCTCTTTGGGACCTCGTATCGTCTTCTGCGCCCACGAGAGAACGACCGGATACCCAGAATGTGCCCCTACAATCATAAGAAAAGCAGCAGCGTAGCGAACCCACACGCCACTTCGTGTGGACGACTGGTCGAGCAAGAAGAGTAAGAAACCGAGCATTGCTAGTGCGGCCGGCGCAACAACGTGAGGGCAAGCGTTGCGATGCCGGTCGGCGCACAGACTGTTGGCAATGGTGACGACAACTCCAATGAGATATGGAGGAGCCGTCATCCACAGGGTCGTATTCCGAGAAAATCCAAGGGTGTTTACGACCGAGGGGAAGAAGTTGTGCACCGACGCACCGATCGCCAAAAGCAGGAACATCCCTGCGAAAACCCAGACTTGCCAGCATCTTACAGCCATCACGAGGCCGCGCCAACGACCATAATCGCTTTCATCATCCTGAACACCGTTGGCAATCATTCGCAGTTGAGCAACTGCGATCTCTTTCTCGGAGAGGTAGCGGGTGTTGGACGGAAAATCTGGAAGGACGTAAAAGCCGACGCAGGCAACGAAAACTGTGCAAACACCGCCCACAATGAACAACCAACGCCACGCCTCGAGGCCCCGTGCTCCGTCGATTGTGTCGTAAATACCAAAAGCAATAAGGCCAGAGAAGGCGTTGGCCATCATCGGCGCCGTCAGAAGTATGGCACTGCGTAATCCAAGCTCGGTCCTTGTGTACCAGGAAGAGATGAGGAAAAGGCAACCGACGCAGAAAGGCGCCTCCAAGAGACCCAGAAAGAAACGCACCACATATAGTTGTGACGGGGTCGTCACAAAAGCAGTGGCCGTGCACACACATCCCCAAAGGACCATCACCACTGGGAGATAGATTGAAGGGCGGCCCCTTGCCAGGTAGTAGTTCGAAGGAACTTGTGCCAGGACATATGCAATAAAAAGCAGCATCATAGCGAGGCCATACTGATTTGAATTCATGTCCAAATCCTTCTGCAAGCCCATGACTCTTGCATTCCCAAGACTGCTCTGCAGCCGTGTCGCGTTAGCTTCCCATTTATAAAGCGCTGGGGGCGACGAGGACCACGTACTCGGTCGAAAGAATTCAAAGCAAACATAATCCAGGCCATGGACACGAGGCAAACGTCGAGTAGTCTTTTGATCCTCTTGGCTATTGACAGTATTTCCTCCTCACTGATGTCTTGAAGTTCCCTTCGAATTACTTCGTCGACTCTTCCAATATCTTGGAGAACAACAATTAGACTCTCAGGAGGGATGGCTTTCTCGGCCGTATCATTTTGGACGTTTCTGCCCTTGGGGAAGAGGTGGCGGTAGAGTTTTAAGAAGGGGGCGGTGATTTTTTCGGACATTTCCAGGGACGAAAGCCTCGACAAACCGAGGCTGCAACAGAGTGAGACACCCTTTCAAGGAAGAGACAAGGTCGAGTTTGATATTGAAGGCTTCCGGGCATTGTCCTCTACTTCCTTTTTGTCTTGCTGCAAAATACAAGGAACCACAGCGGGTATCACAGAGCAAGAAGCTGACAACATTTCATGCATACCATCATATAGTGAGTTCAAACTTGACGTATCCGGCATTGACTTCAATGCGTGTTCCGAGCGCTAATTGAGAATGCTGAATGTTTATTGCAATATCTTAGAGGGCTGAGATTCGGCGAGGGACCGTTCGTGCGCTTATCTGTGTAGACAAGAACTCCATCCAAACCTTACCATTGCAGATTCTTGGCCAGGCATGCCCACCTGCGCCATCTGTTTGCTCATAACGTGTGTCAAGGTGTCCAACATTGATCACGCCATCGATATGGCCGAACAATATACCGTGACTCCGAAAAGCTGTCGTCGAACAGAGTTGATCAGATCTTCGAACGGGAGTGCTGTTGATGCTCTCAATTAGTTCCGGTACAAGCCCATCCAAGGCAACCCGAACTCAGAATTTGTTGCGCTCAGCAATATTTCAATGATTCGAGAGAGTACATCTTGGTGCGAGAACGGCGCCTTTTCCTGCGAGGCGGGGATGGCCAGGCATGGCGTATAAAATGGAGTTGGTGCTGACATACCGCAGCAGTGGCGGAGATGCAGATGGAGATGAGAATTCCTCGTTCGGGTCAACTGGCCATTCAGCACAGCTTTCCCGCTTCCATATGTATCTGGGTTAAAATGAATGCGAGAAAAACTGTGTCAGGGAGGAGAGGAGTGAGGTTGGGAAGGAGGCAGCAAAGGAGATCAATCAGCTCGCCGCTTTTAATCCCGCCCTGCCCCTGGATTCCCAGTACCAAGAACGGAGATCTGCTCCTCTCCGTCGATTTCAGCTTGATTCGGATGTGCCTGACATATGTTTGTTAGCAACTATTGAAGGCAAAAGGGAACTAACAACCTCAGGGTTTCGAAATTGTCGATCAACATCAAGTGCATGTGGCCATGCCCATCGGCCCACCGTGCGCCGTGTGCTCTAATTTACACCCAGAGACATTGGAGCAAATCCAACCAGGACAGTATGCCACAATGTCCATAAGCGCAAGTGAGCTCGCCCATTCCGTTCAGACAAAGTCGTGCTTGGAATGTCAGTTGCTCTCCGATGTCATCAGTACTCGACACAAGGACTGGACTCTCCACGCGGAACAATGGCCATCAATTCGCCTTGGGCTGGCCGTTGGAAAGCCCGCGCAATTGAATTACCGCACTCAAGATCGCACAGATGTATTTGACCTGCAAATCTACCGTTCGGTATCGCAACAGGCGGTTGGGTTGGATGTCAACCTTCCAAAAGCTATTGGGCTGGGTCCCGACATACCTCCTTTTTCGGGTTCTGATGAGAGCATTTCATTGATCAAAAAGTGGTATGCTGAATGCTCAGCTGAGCATGAGCTCTGCAATTCTTATCTCTCTGGCGACAGGCCTACACGATTGTTGGACACCCGCGGCGAAAACCCAGCCCTAATTGAAGCAAGCACGGCGGACAAAGTCGGGTACGTGGCTCTGAGCTACTGTTGGGGGACCCGAGACAAACATCCAATGCTGCGAACCACGAGGTCCACCGTCTCCCAACATCAGGCTGGCATCGAGTTCGCCTCGCTGCCTGCTGTATTCCGGGATGCAATCGTCCTGTCAAGAGCCCTTGGTTTTATATATATCTGGATAGATGCATTATGCATCATTCAAGATGATGCTGAGGACTGGAACAAAGAAGCTGCCACAATGTGCAGGGTGTATTCTCAGGCGTCGCTGACCATAATTGCAAGTCGCCCCGATGGTTGTACCACCAGTATTTTTGGCAATCAGGCTTTTGCTCAGTTTGATATGGTCTCCTTCAAAGGCGTGTCGCTCAGAGTGAGGACCAATATATCCAAGTCCCACGAAATCAACCCAGTCATCCCACTGGGTCCCGATGCCGACCCTATCAGTCGAAGAGCTTGGACTTTGCAGGAAGGCGTCCTTTCGAACAGGGCTGTCTATTTCACAAATGACGAGCTTCGTTGGGAGTGTAATACCTGGCGCCGTTGTCAATGCGGTCAACTGAAGACGAAATTCCCCCTCAAGTACGATGCTGAGGAATACGAATATGAAGGACACCGCACATGGCGTCTGAACGATTTCTTCCCCACTCACTCGGTCGAAGAAGCTTACCGAATAATGTGGCAGCACATGGTAGTCTTCTACACAAACAGGAGTCTAACCATGGAGCAGGACCGGCTTGTTGCACTGTCGGGACTTGCGCAACGATTCGATGCATTGATGAAGGAGCATTTCCAGAGGAAAGACACATATCTAGCTGGGATATGGCAAGGAGCTTTGCCCGCTCAGCTCCTCTGGTGTATTGTCAACAAGGCCCATTCGACCACCCTTGGGTATGAACATACCCGGCCGTCGGCTTGGCGAGCTCCGAGCTGGTCATGGGCTTCAATGGAAGCACCAGTGTTCACTTTCTTGCATACCAGTATTGACAGTCGACTCGAGGTAATGGAGGCTCTTGTGGAACCAAAAAGCGAGGATCATTTTGGCCAAGTAAAACTTGCCATACTGAGGGTTCGCGCTCCTGTCCTACATGAAGTTCGCTTTATCCGGGATCCTGAGAGGGCTGGCTGGAGCCGCTTTCCTGTCGTCAAGTTCCACGATCTTGATCTTCGCATAGAAAATGCATTCTTTGACAATGACCTCGAAGCCGAGACTGACAAGTCCCTCAGCGATCCGAAGCAGCGCTTCAGCCTTCTTGTCGTGGGTTACGGGAAAGGTAACGACCTGCACGAGTGCCTCGCGATTACACCTGTATCCGGGAAGATAGCGACCTTTGAACGGATCGGCTTGATCAGACTGGGTCAGCACTTCAGAGAGCCGGAGGGAAACGCGAGAGCGATTGAGAACGCGTCGCGCGAGGCAGTGACTCTCGTGTGACATGTCGCGGAGCACTTGGAAACAGTTCCATAGAGCAGCGCGAGGTGCAGCTCTTTGAGCTCTTTGAAAACGAGGTAAGGGATCTGCCAACTGCGGAGAAATTTCACCTTCTCCACTGCGCACTATGTTGTCTGTGGAAAGTCAAACGACCTTTGACCTTCGACAAAGACTGCGCACCTGGAATTGAATCTGCACCCCAATCCTTGACCTTTCTCAACCAGCCTCTGCCATTTTGCTATTTTCTAAAGAGTCCGAAACCTTCGCTCAACACGAATTCCACATCCCAGGACACTCTTAGCTACTCCTGACCTCCACCGCGAAACCCAACTTGCATCCAAAGCCCTCGCTCGCCTCAAGACAACCACCCCTACCGCCCTTCTCTTCCACCATGTTCGCTGGACGTAAGTCTTCGTTTCGCATCCCCCTCTAAGGTCCTTCACCTTCCCTTGCTAGAAGATCTCGTCTGACGCTTACCTCTCTCGGCACAGCGCACGACCACCTCTCCGAGAAGGAGATCCGCGAAGGCGAAGCACAAGCCACGGCGCAGGTGCAGTTCTTCGCCGTCGCCTGCGTCGCACTCTGGTTCTGTAGGTTCACTGTTCCGTCTCCTGATCTTTTACCTTTTTCCTTCGATCGCCCTCCCTCCCCGCTTTTCCAGGTATTATGCTTCTCGAGATCGTCCGGTTCGCGCAAACGGGACAGACGAGAAGCGGGAAAGAGGGCCAGAAACACAAAATTTGTTTGATAGACACAACAACACGAGCAATTGATTGACCGAGGCTGGTTGGCTGACGATGAAAACTATTTCACCCCGATTCCAGCTCCTCACGTTGTCGACTGGGCGAGCAAACTCTTCTAAAGAAACCGTAATACCGGTCGGCTTCCTTACGACGATGGGTGTTCATCGGACCAACACGAATACTATGTCTGTGCCGAATGAGGCTGGCATGGGGCAAGTGGAGTGGAAACGTCTCCTTAAGAGCAGCGGCCTATGACTAGAGAAGAGGATCAACTTGAGGGGAAAATCTCTCCTGTACATTAGCTTGTACACTATCGTGTCCCAGCAAAGCAGCAGCTGGGACCGTCGAACTCTCGTTCGACACGGGCAGTGGTTTTAATACAGACGACATCTTCTCAATTCATGGATTCCAAATCATCATCAATAGTCGCTATGCAAGATCTTGTTGCTTCGCCTTGGTATTCCATACAAATGCTTCGATTGGTCCGCTAACCTGAGCCGTACGAGGAGGTTTTCTGCTCAACTCTTCACACGCAATTTTTCCCAACCTCCTTTATTTCAATTACCTCCGTCGAGGAACATCATTATCCCTGTCCTTAGATATCTTCTCCCACTCGTCATACTCTTGCTGCACAAGTTCCAGTTCTTTCTGCAGATGCCGTAGTTGAATTTCGTAGGCTTCCAGTGTCTGCGCAGTTGAGGAAAAGTCAGTACATATAATCATTCAGTTGTTCTTGGTGGGTTTGTTGTTGTCGTCGCGGGTTGCATTGTGGTTAAAAGATACATACCTTTTTTGCAGCTTTGATCGTATCCTCATCCAGCGTTGTACCTTCCCCATCAGCAGCAGCCGCCGGTGCGATCTTCTCCATCTCAGTCTTCAATCTCTTCGCACGTTCTCGAATTCCCAACATCCTCGCCCAGATTTCCTGCTCTCGGGCATTCAAAGAGGGATCAAAGACTTCGCGTTGTAGCTTTTCCAGTTTCGCTTTCAGTTCTTCCTCGGCGTTGTCCATCACGTAGCCTCGGTTTCGAAGAATTTGGACTTTGACTGCCAATGATAATGTTCGCTGAGCTGCCGCAGCTTGTCTTCTCTTGCATTCTTCTAATCTCGTGGCCATATTTTGGCGGTGTTTATCCAGTTGAACGTCGAGTGATGTGTTGATTTCTTGGAGCATCATATTGCATCTTTGGACGGCCTCCATTTGTATTTGAGCTTTTCGGCCCAGCTGGAAAAATCCCTGGATTAAAAGAGGGACCCAGTCAGGTCCAGGTCTTTTAGAAACTGCCTCTTCCCACTTGTCTTCATCTTCTCCCGGCCCCGGTCGGTATTTCAAGGCATCTGTTTCACTCTCGACGTGTTGATACAAGTAGGTCCGCAGCGGGGAGGACAGAATAGTGGGATCCCACTTATTCTTGACAATGTTCATTTGTACGGGTATTGACCTGAAGACGTTGAGGCCGCGACCTTCCTCCCATAGTGATTGGGGCCCAGGCTGTCCTTGTTGCGACTGACCAAACCTCAGCGTCTGATCTAGAGGTCGCTGTGGTTGCTGGGGCTGTTGCTGGGACTGACCAAACCCAAATGCGCTCTGTTGTTGTGGCTGTGTTGAAGTGCCAAATAAACCACCCGGTTGTTGCTGAGGCTGTGACGCTCCAAATAGGCCTCTGGATTGCTGCTGAGGCTGTGTACCAGTCCCAAACAATCCTCCGCTCTGTTGTGTCTGCGAAGTGCCAAACAAGCCACCCGTTTGCTGAGGCTGTGATTTGGGCGCGCCGAAGCCAAAGGTCGGTAGACTGCTCTGTTGCTGCGTCTGCGGCTGGCCAAACAATGACGTGGAACCGGACGGCTGGCTTGAGGAAGGATTGCTAAAGGAGAAGAAGCCAGTTTTCGCAGGCTGCGCCTGATTCGCATTTGAAGATCTAAAGAGACTCATTGTGAAGGTTGTCTTGTGAGGAATCCTGCAGAAGCGCTTTCAGCTATTAAGGAGCTCAAACCCGCTCTCAGAGCTGCTCATTTATTTAAATCGAGGGGAAACAATCTGCATTAATGGGGATAAATGAAGACATAGCAATTCTGCTGGCATGCGATGGCTCTCGCTGACGCGCCAACCCTGAAAACGCGAGAAACCGCCTCGGAGAAACATTTTCCCGTCCGCCCACCACACGTCGCTTGGCGCGGAATATTGTGGAATTCAAGTACCGAGGAAGGTCGTTGCCCTTGCGCAAAGGCAAGGTACTGTGAGCTGACCACTACATAGTCAAATAAATGGATAAACAGATACGAATTTGTTCCAACATCGAGTGTTCACAGTTCCTTCGCATGCCCGCGGAGTCTACCAGCAATACGAAAACACATTACCCCACAAGGCGCACATGTCGGAATTTTTTGTTCCCGTGTTGAACAGGACATTAACGAATCTTTTTAGCAAAGGTTTCGCTGGCGCATGGACCACGGCTCTCTCCTTCTCCCTCGTCCTTCAGAAGGCTATCTGCCAGCGTATTACCCCGACTGGCTTCCTTCAGTCGAATTCGAGCCAGACCAGGGTTCAGGAGCAGTCCAACAGGAGATCAGTTCCGTAGCTGGGATTCAAATATCCATAGACTTTTGGCGCGGCATGTAGACACTATTCATTCATCCGACCTCTTACCATGCATCCAGACTTGTGATGAGCAAGCATTGTCCTGGATATTATTACCACAATATACACGGACGTATTCGGTCTTCAACGAAAATGGGGGATCTTTGCGCGATGGCAAGGTTGAGCATCAGGGGGCCGACGACGCCCGATTGCTGAGGCCGATTTAAGCAGTGAGGGGGGTGAAATCTGATTTCGTGGACACATGAAATTGCCATGCAGTCCGTTATAGCCGAATAGAGCCACATCGAGTGCTATCCATTTGAGTGCAACGTCCCTGGTGAAACGGCGAACAGAATCCACCAAAGACAACCCGCCTGGCAAGCAGGCACTTATTAGTAAGAACGAACAAGTTGGCTGAGAGATGGAACCGAAGATAATCCAGGTGTCTTCAGGGCTAGTCATAATATGTCCACATTCAGACTATGACAGCAAGCAGCAACCACACCTCTGGAAGCTCCACAAGAAAAAGGGTAAAGTGTCAGGGCCGAAATACTGGATTTAGATCTGCCAATGAGGAGAACGGGATTTGAATGCGGCTCGGGCTTGGGAGGGATTGATGTGTTCATGGTGCATGCAGGGTCTTCCCAGGAACAGGGAAGATGGCATCACCGCGTCCGACTTCGGATGGGCGAGTTTAGTGCTGCCGGGGCAAAAGACACTTGGACGGCCGATTCAATATGGGCGTCTCCATGCTTCGTTCGCCTAAAGTTTGTTGGTCACCTATTGGTCCCCAGGATAATAGGAGCCAGGCTTTCGTTGGAGCGGCTGATAGTGGAGGGGGGCAAAGCAGATTAGTCGGGATCTGACTGGGCCATGCAACGAGACACTTCTGCTGACCATTCCAGCAGAGCAAAAATACGGCAGAAGATGTACATGGTTCGCTTCGGATGGAGAGTTTTTGATGCAACCTGATCAGCCATACCGAGTAGTCCCGTGCATGTCACCAGTTGGCGAATACCCCCAACGTGGGGTGCATCTTCCTAGGAGCAAGCAGGTCACGGGCGGTGTTGATGGCAGGAGTTGACAGCTGGTCGTGTACCTCGTACTGAAAAGCCCTCGGAGAGAATACCTCGTGACAGCTTTCGAATTCCGCACTGTTTGTGGCAGTAGGGCGTGTGCGCCTTTATGGCAAATGAATCCTGTCTGATCTCCGCCTTTACTGTCAGCAGAAATCAATGTTTACTCCAATGGGATCTTCAGTGCCTGTAAGGAAACCCAAACGAGGGAAAATTTCTTTTTCCTGTGTTTGTATTAGTAGTCATGAACCGGGCAATGCCGGAAGAGGATTTTTGACTGTCAGGTGTGCCAGTGTCTGTAAGAGTAGTACAATGTGCGTGCGTCGGGGGTTGTCAGAGGTGTTCGCGGTAAAGGCCGTTGAGGGCAAGCAACGCACTTCGCTCCTTTCATGAGTGGCCGGCCTGGCATGTAAGCGAGGAGAAGAAGCATACCTAGGTATTGGGGATTCTGGTGCATCTAGACTTTGCAGGTGGAGTGCAGTTAGGGCTATGACACACAGGAACTGGGTGGGCAACCTTAGCTAGGTATTGAACATAGTGGCCCTAGTCAGCGCTGGAGCTGCGAGCTGGGCGGAGGAGGAGGAAGGCGCCGGTCACGGCCAAAAATTTTTCGAGAGCTTGAGATTCAAAGATGTAATGTGGTGGAAAAGCGAAGCTGGTGATTGGCCCGAGGGGCCCTTATCAGCACATGCATCATGATGGAGGAAGAGCCTGGATAACGCAATGGCACCTATCGGATGCCCCAGAACAAAGCTGCCCATCGAGCCACCAAGTGCCATGATGCTCTGGTGCAGCTGGTTCCGAGCCCCCCACTAACAATCTTGGGGCCCCTCCCCACCTTTGGCTGCGCTCCCAGCTTATTCTGGCACCTGTTTGCTGCACATTGTGCCCGTGTCGGCTTGATGTGAATTTTTTTTTTTGCCAGAACAATCAGTGCTTGCAGGACAAACAATCCTTGACCTAATCCATCTAGCGAGGTATCCCAGTTGCCGACAATCACCACACGCTGGATCAGCCTCCCGCAGTCACCTTACGTGCCGTCAATCCTGCCAGTGGCCAATTCACTTCGCAGACACGCACGCTAACTGACGAGAGCAGAAAGTTCTGCTCTGTTGAAAATCAACCCCACACCTTTGCTTGCCAGACGGGCTTTGCCTGCCCAAAATTCTTCTTTTCTTCCTCTTGTCCACCCTCAACCCGTTTGTCCTTCTGTCTGCTCCCTTCCAGCTCAACACTCCCTCGACTTGACAGTCCTCCTTCGACCACACTTCAGGTGCTGGAGCTCACCCTACAGAGAGACAGCCTCCTTGCTGCCAGCAACAGAACATCCCTCGGTCTGCCCTTGTGCGGCCTATCCCTCGATCGAAACACCCAAACCCCAACCATCAACCTTACAGCACTTGTTGCCCATCTTTCCACTTTCCCTTTCCTTCGATACCACTGTCGCTAGTCGACCATAGGATGGGCTCGGTAGCCGAGGAACGACGAAAGCAAGAGATCGATACATCAGAGGTCCAGGAAGAGTACACTCCGTACCGGCCCGACAAGGGCTATGGCTGGGGTGAAGCTTTGCCCGAGAAGCAAGGCTTGTACGACCCTAGCCTCGAGAAAGATGCCTGCGGTGTAGGCTTTGCCGCGTAAGAATCGCCCTTGGTGGGAGTCTATTCGGCAGAGATGGGTGGCTGACAAACATCTCAGCAATATCAAAGGCAAAGCAAGCCACAAGATCATCAGCGATGGTAGGTCCAGCCCGAGGATGTCACTGAGGTATATGACTGACGTCTGCCAGCGCGGAATCTTCTGTGCAACATGACCCATCGGGGTGCTGTGGGTTCAGATGCACGAGACGGCGACGGCGCCGGGGTCATGACATCCATCCCCCACAAATTCTTTGTCAAGAACTTTGCCCGGGAGGTTGGAGTCGAGCTCCCTCCTCTTGGCCAATATGCTGCTGGAAACCTCTTCTTTAAGCCCGACACTGAGATGCTGAAACATGCCACCCTCAGCTTCGAAGAGGCCGCGCAATCGCTAGGTCTACGAACATTGGGCTGGCGCGAGGTTCCTCGAGACTCTACCCTGCTTGGCCCCGCTGCGTTGTCGCGAGAGCCCATCATCCTCCAGCCATTCGTTGTCCTCGCATCGGCGTACGGCAGCGGCAACAAACCCGAAGTCACCGATCCCGAGCAGTTTGATGACGTCGAGTTCGAGCGAAGGCTGTATATCCTCAGAAAAACCGTATCGCATGATCCACGCTGGAAACCATGGTTCTATGTTTGCTCTTTGAGCAACAGAAACATCGTATACAAGGGACAACTAGCTCCAGTTCAAGTATACCAGTACTTCCACGACCTTGTTTCGGTAGACTATGAAGGCCACTTTGCTCTGGTTCACTCTCGTTTCTCCACCAACACCTTTCCTTCATGGGATCGGTCGCAGCCGCTCCGATGGCTGGCTCACAACGGTGAGATCAACACGCTCAGAGGCAACAAGAACTGGATGAGAGCGCGCGAGGGCGTCTTGAAGTCTGATTTGTTCGGCGAAGAGCTCGAAAAGCTCTTCCCCATCGTTGAGGATGGAGGCTCCGACTCCGCTGCATTCGACAATGTATTGGAGCTCTTGGTAATGAACAGGGTGCTTTCTCTGCCCGAAGCCATTATGATGATGGTTCCCGAGGCGTGGCAAGGTAACTCGGCCGTCGATCCTGCGAAAGCAGCATTCTACGAATACGCTGCCTGTTTGATGGAACCTTGGGATGGCCCTGCTCTATTTACATTCTCGGACGGCCGGTACTGTGGCGCCAACTTGGATCGAAATGGCCTCCGACCCTGCCGCTACTACGTTACGGACGACGATAGGATCATCTGTGCCTCGGAAGTCGGCACTATTGCCATTGAGCCAGAACGAGTGATCATCAAGGGCCGCCTGCAGCCAGGAAAGATGCTTCTGGTCGACACCCAGGCCGGGCGAATCATTGATGATGCTGAACTCAAAGCCACTGTTGCAAATCGACAGCCTTTCCAACAATGGCTCAACAAGAACTTGATGAAGATGCCTCAGGTATATGACGCGGTTGCGAAAGAGCTCGACTTGAGCTACAAGCTTACAGAGTCGACCATCCAAGAAGACCCGAGACTTCGGGCCTTTGGCTACTCGTTCGAGCAGGTCAGTTTACTGCTCGGACCCATGGCCGCCGATTCCAAGGAGGCGCTTGGCTCTATGGGCAATGATGCACCCCTTGCCTGCCTTGCACAGCAACCTCGACTCTTGTTTGAGTATTTCAGACAGCTCTTTGCCCAGGTGACCAATCCTCCAATAGATCCAATTCGAGAAGCAATTGTCATGTCTCTTGAATGTTATGTGGGACCTCAAGGTAACTTATTAGAGATGGACGAATCTCAGTGTGGACGTCTCTTGCTCCCCTCGCCCATTCTCGAGACCGAAACGTTCAATGCCATCAAGAACATCGATCGGCACAACCCGGATTGGACTGTTAGAACAATTGACATCACCTTCGATAAGTGGTCAGGCGTTGAAGGCTACATGAAGGCTTTGGACGACATATGCGACGAGGCGACAAGCGCAATTGATGCCGGTGATAAGATAATCATTCTGTCCGATCGGGCAACATCCGAAGACAGAGTACCCGTGTCGACGCTCCTCGCTACTGGATTGGTGCACCATCACCTGGTTCGAAACAAATGGAGATCTCGGGTGGCCCTCATCATCGAAACAGCAGAGGCAAGAGAGGTACACCATATGTGTGTGCTTGTCGGCTATGGTGCGGATGGTATTAACCCGTATCTTGCTATGGAATGCATCCTCAAGATGAACCATCAAGGTCTCATAAAGAAGAAATTAACCGATGAACAAATCATTGCCAACTATAAAGCTTCATGTGATGGTGGCATCTTGAAAGTCATGAGCAAGATGGGCATCTCCACATTACAGTCTTACAAAGGAGCACAAATCTTCGAAGCTCTCGGTATCGATGACACAGTCGTTGATAGATGTTTTGCTGGCACCGCCACTCGTGTACGCGGTATGACCTTTGAACTGATTGCCCAAGATGCATTTGCGTTGCATGAGAAAGGTTACCCATCGCGGCACGTCAGAGAAATCCCTGGTTTGGCGGAATCTGGCGAGTATCATTGGCGAGATGGTGGCCAGCCTCACATTAACGACCCTGTCAGCATTGCAAACATCCAGGACGCGGTCAGAACCAAGAACGACAAATCTTATGAGGCCTACTCTCTCTCAGAGTATGAGCAGATCAAGAACTGCACTCTACGAGGCATGCTTGATTTCGACTTCGAGCAACGTACGCCTGTACCGATTGATCAGGTGGAGCCATGGACTGAGATTGTGCGACGTTTCGTCACCGGCGCCATGTCCTATGGTTCCATCTCGATGGAGGCTCATTCCACCCTTGCAGTGGCCATGAACCGTCTGGGCGGCAAGTCCAACACTGGTGAAGGCGGCGAGGATCCAGAACGAAGTCTGCACATGGAAAACGGCGATTCCATGCGCTCTGCAATCAAACAAATTGCCTCTGGTCGATTTGGTGTGACGGCAAATTATCTGGCAGACTCTGATGAGCTTCAGATTAAGATGGCTCAGGGGGCAAAGCCCGGTGAAGGAGGTGAACTCCCCGGCCACAAGGTCTCTGAGCCAATTGCACGTACTCGACATTCCACTCCTGGTGTCGGTCTCATCTCTCCTCCTCCTCACCACGACATTTACTCTATCGAAGATCTCAAACAATTGATCTACGATCTCAAGTGCTCCAACCCTCGAGCCAGAGTGTCCGTCAAGCTCGTGTCTGAGGTCGGTGTAGGTATTGTTGCGGCGGGTGTCGCAAAGGCCAAGGCAGACCACATTTTGATTTCTGGCCATGACGGCGGTACCGGCGCCTCAAGATGGACTGGTATTAAATATGCTGGTCTCCCGTGGGAACTTGGTCTTGCTGAGACCCATCAGACCCTCGTGCTGAATGATCTCCGAGGTCGTGTCATTGTCCAGACTGACGGCCAGATCCGAACCGGTCGCGATGTTGCTATTGCCTGCCTGCTAGGTGCCGAAGAATGGGGCTTCGCCACAACTCCTCTCATTGCAATGGGCTGTATTATGATGCGAAAATGCCAGTACGGCGCTCCCTCCTCCTTGAATCTTGATACGCGCTAACAGATGTATTTGTAGTCTGAACACTTGTCCAGTTGGTATCGCCACTCAAGACCCTCTACTCCGAAAGAAGTTTGAGGGTACTCCCGAGCGTGTTATCAACTTCTTCTACTACGTCGCGAACGAACTCCGTGCAATCATGGCCCAGCTCGGATTGCGAACGGTCAATGAGATGGTCGGACACGCAGAGTTTTTGAAGGTACGCGAAGATCTACGCACCGACAAAACTCAGAACATCGACCTGTCTCTGATTCTCACGCCCGCCCACTCTATCCGGCCTGGCGTTGCGACCTACAACGTCCGGAAGCAAGATCATAAGCTACACACTCGCTTGGACAACAAGCTGATTTCCGAGTCCGAGCTTGCTCTGGAGAAGGGATTACCATGCCGCATAGAGACCGACATCGTCAACACCGACCGTGCGTTGGGCGCCACATTGTCGTACCGAATTAGCAAACGCTATGGCGAGGCTGGTTTGCCTCAAGACACCATCCACGTCAACCTCAGAGGTTCTGCTGGCCAATCATTTGGTGCTTATCTTGCACCAGGCGTTACACTCGAGCTAGAAGGTGATTCCAACGACTATGTTGGCAAAGGTCTATCGGGCGGTCGCCTAATCATCTACCCTCCTCGTAGTGCTGTTTTCAAGGCTGAAGAGAACATTCTGATTGGGAACGTCTGTCTCTATGGTGCCACAAGCGGTACATGCTACTTCAGAGGTGTCGCTGCTGAGCGCTTCGCTGTCCGCAACTCAGGCGCCAACGCGGTTGTCGAAGGTGTCGGGGATCACGGTTGCGAGTACATGACTGGTGGTCGTGTCGTTATCCTGGGTAGCACTGGCCGTAACTTCGCAGCCGGAATGTCGGGTGGTATCGCGTACGTACTCGACATGAACCAGGACTTCCACTCTAAGATCAACATGGAAATGGTGGAAGTGTCTGGCGTTGAAACGCCCGAGGAAATTGCGTTCCTTCGAGGCATGATCGAAGACCATCACCACTATACTGGCTCGGAATTGGCTGCTCGAATCCTGCTCGAATTCAATCGTGCTCTTCCCCGCTTTGTCAAAATTCTGCCAACAGACTACAAGAGGGTGTTGGCAGAGCGGGCAAAGAAGGCGGAAGAAGCAAAGAAAGCAGAATACCCCTTGCCAATATTGCCAGGCAACCCAGTCCGCAACCTTCACCAAGAGCAGCGGGAAATTGCTGCCGAGAAAGAGGCCAAGCAAAAGAAAGCCAATATGCTCGACATCGAGGAAGGCGTCAATGGTGATGCAGATCAAGCCAAGCACAAGGCTGCATTGGTCCTTGATAAGACTCGTGGTTTTATGAAGTATGCGCGTCGAAGCGAGAAGTACCGCAACCCAAAGACACGAGTCAAGGACTGGGCCGAGCTCTCCTCGCGACTCAGTGAAGATGAACTGAAATATCAATCCGCTCGATGTATGGACTGCGGTGTACCATTCTGTCAGTCGGACACTGGATGCCCCATTTCGAACATCATCCCGAAGTGGAACGAACTGGTGTTTCAGGATCAGTGGAAGGATGCGCTCAATCGCCTGCTGATGACCAACAACTTCCCCGAGTTCACTGGTCGTGTCTGCCCCGCTCCTTGCGAAGGAGCTTGCGTCTTGGGTATCAACGAAGACCCAGTAGGCATCAAGACCATTGAATGCGCCATCATCGATAAGGGATTCGAGATGGGCTGGATGGTGCCAAACCCACCAAAAGAACGAACCGGCAAGAAGGTCGCTATCATTGGTTCTGGTCCAGCAGGTCTCGCCGCAGCTGATCAACTCAACCGCGTTGGGCATACTGTCACAGTCTACGAGAAGTCAGACCGCGTCGGCGGCTTACTGATGTACGGCATTCCCAACATGAAGCTCGACAAGCGAATTGTCCAACGACGAGTGGACCTCATGGCCGATGAGGGTGTCAAATTCGAAACAGGGGTCATGGTTGGCCCAGGTGAAAAGGTTACTCTCGAGTCGCTGCGCCAGAGCAACGATGCAATCATCATCTCTACTGGTGCCCAAGTGCCCCGTGATCTGAAAATTAAGAATCGAGAAGCCGAAGGCATCCATTTTGCGATGGAATTTTTGCACGCCAATACGAAGTCTTTGCTTGACTCGCAACTAGGTGATGGCCACTACATCACTGCCAAGGACAAACACGTTATTGTTATTGGTGGTGGAGACACCGGAAATGACTGCATTGGCACCTCCATTCGACATGGAGCCAAGTCGATCACCAACTTCGAGCTTTTGCCTCAGCCTCCACCAGAACGCGCTCGCGACAACCCGTGGCCTCAATGGCCGAGAATCTACCGGGTGGACTACGGTCACACAGAAGTTAAGCAACACTACGGTAAAGATCCTCGTGAGTACTGTGTCATGACGAAAGATTTCGTGGTCGAGGACGGGCGTGTAGTGGGCATTAACACGACTCGTGTGGACTGGACGAAGAGTGCAACTGGTGGCTGGGAGATGAAATCCAGAGAGGGAAGTGAGGAGTACTTCCCAGCGGATCTGGTCCTTCTTTCTATGGGTTTCTTGGGACCCGACGACCGTCTTTTCGAAGGTCAAGTGGAGCTTGATCCGCGCAAGAATATCAAGACCCCAAAGAACATGTACAACACCAACCTTCCAGGTGTATTTGCTGCCGGTGACTGCCGACGTGGCCAATCTCTTATTGTTTGGGGTATTAATGAAGGCCGTCAATGTGCTCGACAAGTGGACAGCTTCCTTATGGGCGCAGGGTCCATACTTCCCGTTACTGGCGGTATTATTCAGCGAGCCCAACATGACGCCGTCCCGACTCCTCAAGAGATCAAGGCTCACAAGCACGGCGACATGGCGCATGCTGCCGAAGACTTCAAGCGTGCTCCGGAAATCAAAGTTGATGCATGAGGTCTCTGGTGATACTTCAACGTGAACGGTTGCATATGAAAGCAGGATGCAGGAATAAATACCAAAAATTACGTGGGCGGCTTTCCTATCTTTTATTTCACGATTTGGCATGGTGAGCGCAATCAGCTAGTATGTGAGATACCCTGGTGAGCGCCTTTCGGATCCCGAGATGCAAGATGAGATGGACCGATGGAATCTGTCATGGATCATGCGTTTTGATTCTTACGATCTTTGATGAGCGAGGCATTTTTGAGGCTACGAGGCTGCGGGCAGGTTTAAGTCGTTCTCTAGCGGTTCTGGTGTCTAGTGGGGAAACGATAAGGGAGAGAATGAAGTGCTGAATGCGAGCATTCGAAAAGAATTGGGGGGAGATAATGCAGACTGCCAATGGAACTGTATCAACACCGACAGCGGGTAGATAGCAGACCAGAATATATACCTGAAAATCGTCCTTTTCTGTTCTTTCCTGGTTGTGAAATTTGCGGGATCTTGGCTTCATCTCTTGGAGTACCGTGCTGAAATGGCTGCGGTAAAGGCGATTGATAACTGGTTGGTCTCCTCACATGGCTGGACCTTGGGTCTTTCCTTTATCCCAGCAGTTGCTGGCAGTATTCTTGATATTCGGGAAGCAAAAGTTAAGCCATAGAGAAGATCAACTAAACTATCTGCTTCACGCAGAGAGGAGAGTGCTCCTAGCTGTTCTGAACCCTTGGATCCTCCCTACAGCCCGCCAGCCCTCGACAGCCACCGCTACAGTCTAGGTGTCTCCTGCGTTGCCACTACCTACATAGTTGTTGTTGATTGTTGTCTGGTCTCTGAGAGAAAATCGTTCTCGATTGCCAGGTATGTACCGACCTGCTGGACAAGCCTGTGGAAGATCTGGCACGTGAACGACAAGCCCCGATCAACCTCTTCAGACTATCCGGGTGCCGCACCATCCTTTCAGCACATGTTTATAGCTGCGTTCGTCCGACCAAGTTGGGGAAGCAGAGTACACAGCTGGGATGGGAAACCCGTGAAGGCAGCTTGACAGTCAGCTAGCTGCCTCTCGAAGACCTAATAGTCATCGGGCACCAACACCTCAGGCAACGAGATACGAAGGAACGAATCAGCTTCCTTTCTGCTCAAACTCGCTTCGACAAGAACTGCACAGATCAGATATTGCCAGAGATTCTCGACGGCATCCAGCTCTCGGAAGTCAGGCTCGAGACAATACCGCGGAGCATCCATCACTGCCATCGGTCATGGCAGATCCACCGTCTTCGAAACGCCATAGCACCACGTGTTTCATTTCCGCAGACGGTCATGGGATATGTTGGGCATTGCAGAGATCCCCATCGATTTAACCATCGGAGTGCTTTCTAGATATGGGTGAGACGTTACAAGTTCAGTTTTTCCCTGGGGGACCTTGCTTCTGGGCTCACCTTGCTCTTAATTCCAATTTTGATTGACCCTCCGCAGTGCCGCCCGTGTCGACCCCTACACTGCGTTGGTAGCAGAGGGCCTATGTGATCAGTTCCGGTTGACGATGAAGTCAAGAATGGTCCTTGAAAAAGCAATCAACGAACTGAAAGTTGTCGGTAGTCTAGCCGACGCGCTATCAGCTTTATCTCAAATCTCTAGGGACGAACTACATTCAGTGATGATGGCTGGGGCCTCACGCTGGTTGGCTTGCAGCAGTCGCGGATTGGCTCCTAGATCTCAGTGCGAGGGTTACGAAAAGCGATGGGAATCCCCTCTATGTCAATCGGGACGGAGAGGACTTCCAAGACGAGATTGTATTCGTTGAGCTAACGTCTTCGTCCGGTAATTTTTGCAGGAAGAAGAGACATTTCATTCACAGCAGTACTCGCAGGTCGCCTTGACTCGAAGGAGGTTTCGAGATCGTCTTGTCGGAATTCGGACAACTCATGGAGATTGATCAGACTGTCGGGCAATGCATTGGGAGCGCAGCAAGGCTCTTTCAAGATGTCGCTGACACCGACGAAAGGTTCCCTAGAGAATACCGAATTGCTTTCACAAGCTGATGCGACGGCTTGCGTGGCCTCGGGCTTGTCGACAACACGATCAGCTGGTTTCCGGAACTCTCAAAACTACAGGCCAATATGCAACATGCCGCCAGACTCAATCTTGATGAGTTTTGCGAAGTGGTCATCACCGAGACCTTTATATCCCTCTCTCAACCGCTGGCATATGTGTTGTTTGAAATGGTCCCCTCCGTCCCGTTAGAAGTGGGATGGAGCTGGCATATCAAAGACAAAATGACGAAGACTCTCCAGTCAGGAAGAGACCACCGCCGAAGGGATTGGTCCCATTGCATGTTGTTACGACCTCAATAATCTTCCCTTTGACGACACTAGAAGACGCATGACACGGTGATGTGGTCGTGATCAAATGAGGTGCCCTGCGTCTGTGGTTTCAGTGAGATGGACGAGTCCATGTGCGGGTTTGAAATATTTGGGCAGTTCAAGCAAAGTGTGGTATAGGGACCGAGTATTTTAATAATCAACAATCGCCAAAAAGTGATAGCGCACTATCAAGGACTGGAATGGGTGTTGGCTGATCGGTGGCTAGCGAGCCAGGATGCCGTAGCGTTACTAGCTTGCATTGGCAGTATCACTTAGTATCTAGGCGTTCCCGTCAACATACCTTGCATGCACTAACCCAACATACCTTAATCAACCAACTCTCCTTGTTACTCTACGTCGTCCATCAACCCCCAGTCGTCCACATCGTATATTTTGAGGACATCTTTCGATGCCAGCAAACCCCGACGTGGGGTCCCTCATTCTGCGCCTTGTGGGAATCTGCCGTACTGGTCATCCTCGGTTTTTGGCAGAACACGTCGAAAGCTCTCAAATCACAACAAGTCAAGCAATAATGCGCGACGCGTTTTGTGTCTTCGAATCAACAAGGGCATTTCACTTCGCAACACAAAGACATTCCGGGCCAACGTTGCAGTAGCAGGAGCCACCAATCTGGGAGAGAACTTCTATGTCTAAAGGGCCGCATACTGGACAATCAGGGAGTGGTCATATTCTGCACCACTCAACAAGCCACAAACCTCTATCCCGAACCTAAGCACCATCTCCATTCGCCACAATCAAAACCGATCCCAATAATGTTTCTGACATGTTCACTCCCTCTCCTCCCGCCGCCATCAACCTCCCTCCTCCCGCCACTAACCACTTCATTTTCGTCGTCCGAAGCCTCTTCGGCGGCAACCCACCAACATCAACATTCTCACCAGCATCCCTCGTCATCCCGCCGCCCCAAACCTCACCATGCAGCTCTTAACAACCGCAACAACACGCTCGTTGCCCTTTCTTCCGATGAGCGAACCATCTCCCAGCGGAAAATGGCCATTGCCATGTACGGCTATAGTTGGCTCAAACCCCCTGGGTGTGCCAAGACTATGCTGGGGAGACATGAGGAAGATGTTGAAAGGGAGGAAGTCGAAAGGCAATTGAGAGAGGTGGAACTTCAGGAGAGGTACGCCCAAGAGGCGGAGGAGCAGGAAAGATTGGCAAGGCTTAACGAGATGGGCGAGGGCGAAGGAGAGGAAGGCGAGCGGGATCTGGATGAGGATATTCCGGACGCTGACGATATGGACGGGGAGGGAGAAGAAGAAGGAGAAAGTGACGAGGGAGATCTGGACGAAGGTGACGAGGCCGAGGATGACGACGCGATGCAAGCCGATCTTGACGACGAAATTCCAGACGCGGATGACCAGGACGATGAGGACGAAGATGATGAACCAATGTCACCCGATCCAACGGGCGCCGATGGAAACTGGGTCTACGATACCCGTCGTGAGCCTGATACTGACGATGAAGAACAATTACCCCAACCGCATCTAGTCTCTCGCCGTCCCGCGGGTCGTCCTCCCGCTGAGAGACATGGTAGGCAAGCGACAGTTGCTGGTGTGCGTCTCCCCATTTCAGGAAGTGATTATGACTACGATGAGCGTGAAGCCGAAGATTTAGCGGACGCCATGCTCGCTCAAGACGGGATCTATGACGACCACGGCATTGGAAGAAGCAGCGGTGTCAGCGTTGAGCATGATCTGGATGACGATGTCCCTGAAGCAGATGACGAGCAAATCTGGGAACATACGGACACCGAGCTCGAGGAGAGTGAGATGGATATCTCTGTCCTTCCCGGTCAAGGTCAGGGTACGATTGATATGGTTCAAGCTCAAGGTCTACAACCCCCTCGCAGTTCCGGTCGCATTTCAGCACCACGCAGTTCCGGACCCTGGATTACAGGGCCGTCCCCCTCGCCTCAGGCACATGGAGAGATTGTCACCCGGCGTGAAGTGCATGCTAGGCCGACTCCCGATGCTGCCATACGCGCCGCAAGAATAGTATCGGGGAATCGGCAACGCCATTATCATCGCGGACTCCCGAGCACGCGACTTCAACTCAACCAAACGCCAGCAATGTTGGACAGTCCACTGAATGTTGACGAGGAAGAAGTTGACACGGATCTCGAATTCGATACACCTGATTCATTTGCCGCTCCTAGGAATCCGAGAGAGGGAGCTGCTGGCCGGGTAGCCCGACCAGAGCCTATGGGCAGGGATGATACAGCACAGCCAGAAACGGGTAATAACGCCAACTTAAGCCCAAGTCGGGCAGCAGCAGCGCGTAATTGGCTCGACGGGGCAGCAGCAGCAGTTGTTGGAGGGAGCGGGAGTGCAAGGAGAACGTTATTTCAACGCGCGGCTAGGAGAAGAAACAATGTTGACCCTGACACTGCCGCAAGCTCTGGCCCTGCGCAGGCAGCCCCGAGTGCTGCGTCAAGCGGCGGACTGTTCACACCCTCTCCTCACAGCGGTGGCGCCGGTTCTGGTCGCCCTCAGGATCGCCCGCGGGCAGCAGCACTAGATTGGGACACACCTGTGAATACTACCGCGAATGCAAATGCGACCGAGGGATCGTCGAGTCAGAATCAGGACCAAAGAGGACGGGGGCGACGAACGGGCCGGTTTCTGGGTGCCCGAAGACGAGCAGAATGAAAATGAAGAAATGGGAAGGCTGGTAGAGATATCAGATGGACAGGACCGTAGACCAAAGTGTTGCATCTGGCGGAATACGGGTCTTCTTCCCCTCCTTCTAGGGAGCCTCTGCTCGCTGTTGACACGTGCTCGAGTCTCAAAGGCGCGCAAGGAGGCCCGTTCATCATATTAGATGCATCGAACATATACTCCGTAAAAGTTAGGCTCAACTCCCTCGTCTCGTATTACATCTTACGTACACCGAAAATCTGTCCTGCAATTGATCCTTGTAGGTAGGGCTAGTCTGCTGGGTCTAAGAATTCATTTGTATTCACTTTTTGTGCATGCCTGCCTGCCTCCCTGATTGATCCCTTGCACACAGATCCACAAATATTCGCGCCAGGAACGCCTTGCTCTGCTCTGGCCTGCTTTCTGCATCGTTGCCGTTGTTCGCCCTGAAAGAAGGAAGGGAAGCAAGGAAATGGAGGGCATAGTATACACAGGTTCTGTCGCTCTTTGGAAATAAGAGGATCGGAGGGGGCTAATGTCTGGGCTGAGATGGTCGATGGGTGGGCGAAGAAGTCGAGGATGGCCCAAGGCGAGATAGATTTGGGAGTCCGGCTTTTGGATCATGTTGGTTTCGAACGAGGGCGTGTATCGGTTTGGACTCTTGCCTCGATCCCTCGGGACCTGGCATAATTACCCAGGTCGCGAGGAATCATGGCTTCCGGGGCGTTCGAAATTTCCAGGCATCCGCTATCCCATCCAAGTCCAGGTCCAGGTCCAAGTCCTGATGTTGCTTTGCATGGCTCATCATAGCTGCAATCTCCCTGGCTCGCTCTCCTTTTTCCTCTCAACCCAAGCCCTGATCTTTGGGCCGTTCCCGCTCAAAACAGCCACACATAAGCAAACAAAGCCCACACCGCGATGAAAAATACCACCCACACTTTCCACCCCACCCCCGTCCGCTCCGCCATGCGTAACATCCTCCTCATCGTGCCCCGCAACCTGACGCCCGTGTTCTCAAATGTGTCATTGATCGTCTGCGCGAGCTGGGACGAGTCGCGGATTTCATCTCCGATGGCGACTGTGAGGGACTTCAGTTGCGAGACTTTTTGACTCAGGAGGGTGGTCTGGGTCACTTCGTTTTGGGACTCGAGTTCCTCGAGAACGGAAGCGGAGTATTGGCCCTTGGAGTTGGGCGTCGCGGGGCGGAACCCTGACGAGGGCCGTTGAGGCGTGCTATGGCCATTTGTGGAGGAGTAGGGTGTCAGGTAGGGGGAAGAGGAAGTCGCTGGTTGTGATGTGGGATAGGCGTAGCTGCTGGGTCTCTGCGAGGAGGATGAGGAGGATGGCCGCGAGCCGGGGTAGTCTTGGAAGAGAGCTGAGGAGGCCGGGGCGGTGCGCCGATTTAGAGAGGAGTAGCGGTTACTATTCATGGTATTAATTCACCTGAACTCGTCTCCTGGTGACAACCTGGGGGCCTAGGGAAAACGTACGTTGACATCTCGGACGATTTTGTTGTAGAGAAATGTTCACTAGGACAGGTGGGTCGTCGTACGCTCTGTATACTGTGGCTTTCAAACCATCTTTGTTCAGAATACACAAGCTGTCGCAGATGGAGAAATGTGCCACTCTGTCCGCGATCTCAACAGTATGTTTTGTCTGCCTTGGGCGTTAAAACTCGGTTGTTCTGGGTTGGACAAGTCGCAGAAAGGACAAATGTTCGGGCTCGAGAATGACGCCGGTGGCGGGAACACCCGGCCGAAGTCATTGCGCATCATGTTATAAAATTCCACCGTACAACAAGGTCAGCCTCGTCAGCCTTGTCCAGTGGCGTCGGGGGCCGTGTCCTAGGTTTCCAGTATCCAGAAACCTATTGTAGGACATGCCACCTGAAGTCTCACAGTCACATTCACTATAGAATTTTCTTCGCAACTGTGCTCAGACGCTCAGGTTTCTGAAAGCAAACCCACTGTCTCCCAGTGGATCTTCCTTTTCCACAGAGTAGGTGCTGAATCCGGTGTAGTATGCTTGTCCTTCGACCTTGACCCTCACTCCCATGTCTTCAGAAGTCGAGGAAGAGCCATCATCCTCACGCGGGTTTTTGTCGTTCATTGCTGGCCCTATGATTGTCCCGATAAAAGGCGGGCCGATTCCGAGCCTCGAAACTAATGAATGATATGCCCACGACTGATTCACGGCGCGAGTGTCCTCTCGATATGCCAGCGCTGCGCGAGCGGCCACTCCACTTCCCGTCGGAGACCGGTCGATTTCTTCGGCAGCAAAGTAGCATACACCCAGCTCGGAACCAGACACAGCTTCATCTTCCACGTTCATGTTGTCAGTGACAATGACGCCGTATAGAAAGGACATCTCAGGCTCCGTGCTATGCTTGTAGTGGTGAGTGAGATTTGGATTGTCCAATACGGCTGACTTGAGACCCCGTGTAGCACAGTTCAATGCTTCCAAGTTGACTGCCTTCAACCCATTAGCAAACCCTAGCTCTGTAGCCTTGACAATGCAGTAGAATGCCCCGCCATACGCGAAGGCTGCCTGTACTTCCGCTCTGTCATCGTGCAGTTCGGACCAACGCAGATGAGTGGGTATGGGGATTGTGGTGTTGATGCCGGGAGCAAAAGATGGGACGGATACAAAGGAGACAGGTCGTTGAGGGTCTGAGGCGGAACCATCTTCGTTGGTGGGCACGGTCACCCTGAGGAGCCCACATGGGGCATGGAGGTTGACGACGGCATACCGAGTGTGTGGGTCATACTTAATCTCATTTCTTCTCGGGAATATACGAAGGTCATGTGTATCGACAAGAAACCGTCCCAGAGCGATGGTTGCATGCCCACACATGGTGGAGTAGCCATCATTGGTCATGAAGAGAACACCAATATGGGCTTCGCCACTCACGGTGAGCTCTGTCCTCGCTCGAAGTATTGCGCCATACATGTCGTAATGCCCACGAGGCTCCAGCAAGACTCGTTCTCGGATGTGGTCATATTTGGTCTTTGCTTCAGCACGCTGTTCCAGCAATGTGCCATGAAGATCAGGATATCCGTCGATGATAATTCGCGTAGGCTCGCCGCAAGTATGCATCTCAATGCAAGAGATTGGTTTATTCTCGGACTGCAAAAGCCGCTGTTTAATGTCCATGATTCACGGTGAACAAGCGCCAAATGTAGAAGAAAAAAAAAAGACCCGGATGATATAGCTGCTGACTCAATGGATATCAAAGCAACTCATCAAGGATAGGAACACAGAACTGTGCAACAAAGTGCAAGCTCTATTGACGCCAAGTGAGTTATGTTCAAGCTAGTGGATTACCTATCTCACAGATGAACGCTTGTTATTATTAAATCCGAAGAAAGACTGTGACACAGCCTTGCATGGCAACGGCGGAGCATACGGCGAGTCGCGCATCCGCGCCTTCCACAACGCGTAGCGATGAACGTGGGATCAATCTACTCCGTACTGGACATCGCGAAGTTGACGACGCGGGATTGTTGCATGGCTTGGAAGATTTGCTGTTAATCTTATCCTCCTACCTCAGTGCCAGCAGCACTCATAATAGCCTGCTGCCTGAAGGCACTACGGCTCAGCATGGTTGCCCCACGAGAGAACGAAAGTTTCGGCTCGATTGGCGAACTTGATACCGAAGTGGTATCGGAGCTGAGGGAGAGGCTGACCGAAGTGTCTATAAAATGCTCTGAACGGTGTTTGTACCAATCGGCAAAGTGGTAGGCCAAGGGACATCCCAAGAAGACCAGTCACTGACCGATGTATTAGGGCAGCGGAGCTTCTCGATTCTCTTCCTGAAGATGACGACCCATTTCATGACGCTCCTATGCAAGATACACATAATGTCCAATCTTCGTATCGACTGTTCTCAACTAGTTATGACGATCCTGAAGAGGCGGCACTGGAGGCTAAGGAGGCACCAAAATACCTGCTAGCGAAGGCATTCTTTGACACCAAAGAATTCGACAGGTGCACCGCGGTATTTTTACCTCCAGCGATCCCAGCTGGCGGTTTAGCAATCTTTGACAAGCCTAAAAAGCGGACGCCAACATCCACACCATCTCGAACCAAGGGGAAATCAAAAGAAAGCGGTACAACCGCGGCCAGTCCGTTTCCACGACTCAGCCAAAAGTCCCTGTTTCTTGCGCTGTATGCGCGATACCTCTCTGGAGAGAAGCGCAAGGATGAAGAGAGCGAAATGGTCTTAGGTCCAGCCGATGGTGGACAGACAGTCAACCGAGAACTCCCAGCACTGGCAAGAGGACTGGAAGCATACTTCCAAGTCCGAGATGCGGCTGATCCACAACTCAAACGAGCTCAAGGATGGCTCGAATATCTGTACGGCACTGTCCTCTCCAAATCAAGACAAGAGCAGCTTGCACAGCAATGGCTTCTCCGTTCCGTGCGACTCAATCCCTACCACTGGGGGGCATGGGAGGAATTAGCAACCCTACTCTCGTCCATCGACGACCTCAATACCCAACTTTCGCCTTCTGTCCTACCCCAAAATCTCATGAGCATCATGTACCAGGCTTATGCCTCTGTTGACCTCTTCTCCACCAGCGACCAATCCACAACCTTGAACTATCTTCGAATTCTCCTGAACTACTTTCCAAACTCCACATTCCTACTTACGCAACTCGCACTTAGCCACTACCACGCCAAAGAATACGAGTCCTCCGCCTCCATATTTCAAGAGTTGCTGGTAGCCCACCCTCATCGTCTGGACGGACTCGACCACTACTCGAACATCCTGTACGTAATGGCTGATCGACCCAAGCTTGCGTTTCTCGCTCACCTTGCCACGTCCGTCGACAAGTTCCGCCCAGAAACATGCTGCGTGGTGGGAAATTATTATTCTCTTTGTTCACAGCACGAGAAAGCAGTCATGTACTTCCGACGCGCCCTTACCTTAGACAGAAGCTTTCTCTCGGCATGGACACTAATGGGCCACGAGTACATCGAGTTGAAAAACACACACGCCGCTATCGAAAGTTATAGACGCGCAGTCGACGTCAATCGCAAGGACTACCGTGCTTGGTATGGTCTAGGTCAAGCGTACGAGGTTCTTGACATGAACTTTTATGCATTGTTCTACTACCAGCGCGCTGCTGGACTGAGGCCATATGACCCTAAAATGTGGCAAGCAGTCGGATCCTGTTATGGGAAAATGAACCGGCTGGATCAAGCGATCAGAGCTCTAAAGCGCGCTCTTGTAGCGGGGACGTATATTGAAGATTCCACCTCCGCGCAGTCAAGCTTCAATGCAAACAGCAGTGTTTCAAGCAATTTGGCTTCGAGCACAAAACGCGGAAAGTCTACTCCCCAGGCGAAGGCAGACCAACAGAAAGCTATCCGCAAACTTCTCGACCCAGACAACCTCTACCAAATCGCCCTGCTGTACGAACGGCTCGGCAGCACCGAGGGCGAGAGAGAGGCAGTGCATTACATGGAGCTCTGTATCGCACAGGAGACGGGAGGAAGCCACATAAGTGTTGTAAAGGCAGAGAAAGCACTTCGCAAACGTCAGCAGAAAGAAGATAGAAAGACTGCTGTTGCAGAGGAACGCAGAGCCCGAGTGGCGCAGATGCGTGCGGCTGGTGGAGGAGATATGGAAGTTGATGCCGGGGAAGAGGCAGCCGGTGCTGACGACGATACGGAAATCATGTCCTCCTCGCCTGCATCCCCTACTTCGCCAGCAGGGTCTTCACCGTCACCGTCCGACGCCGAAAATATCGACGAGATCGACGCGGCTAGTGGAGGAGACGGCTTTGGCACAGGTACAACTGCCACGACCTCCAAAGCCCGCCTGTGGCTTGCGCGCTGGTGGCTGAAAGCAGGTGACTTAGACCGTGCAGAAAGATTGGCTGAAGAGTTATGCATGGATGGGTATGAAGTTGAAGAAGCGAAGGGTCTGGTCAGAGAGGTCAGAGGGAAAAGAGAGGGGCTGTCCAGCGGACGTGGTGCGGGCTTGGATCTGTTTCAACCGTCGACGACCTGACGGGCGAGTGTCAAGCAAGTGTCAGCCCGGCACAGAGAGCTGGTTTGTAAGAACAGGGACAGGGTTGAACGAATTATGAGCCTACGATTGAGTATGATATGACGGCAGTCGGCCTGATGATTTGCCCCGCACAACGATGCGAACGCGCGAGGCTGTATCGGTGTAAGAGCGTGCAGCATGAGATGTCGACAGAGGTGGCCTGTAACAACATACCTAGCGAACTCGGTAACTTATACCCTATTAATTCTTCACGGTCACTTTCTCCACATGCACATTTCGTTATGGAATCGAGCGGACCACCGCTGCGTCGTGTTGGGGCCGGGGTTCAGTTCCGACCAGGTAATTCTGGTGTCCATGGCGCCTATTGAAATTCTCCACTTCTATCGCCGCTTGCAAAACCGAGCTCGAGTTCACTAACTTGATACTGTTCCACATCGTGACAGAGAGAGGGAGAAGGGAAGAAAGGGTGAAATGGAGAGATGCTTCACGATCCTCCCTCACGCCCTCGCTGCGAGTCCACACAGCTTAGAGCAGTCGACTACGGAACAGTGGCAAATAAAGGGCGGTGCAATAACGAGGACGAAAAGCACGGTGGGCAAGCAATCAGGAAAGAAGGATCGAGACCACAGACTCTGAGGACATACAAGATGAGCCAGTGACATTGAAGAGGACTCCGCGGTCATGGCGCTCGGGTCCCGATCGGTCTTAGGGCGATGTGACGGTTGGGGCGGGGCGGGGGTCAAACAAGCTGCATGCAGAATAGGGCGAGTAGATGGCATGTAACGACGCCAGGACGACACTGGGGTTGGAAGTACTGTACGAGATTATGTGGTGACATCTCGCATCCCGGACTTGGCATGCTATGGTAATATCAGGTAGGAAAAGACAGGCTGTGTGCAGAACAGTCAAGATGAGGCCAATCACACTGAGGAGGACGCCGTTCGTTTCCGCCATACTTGCCTCCTGGATAGGCGGTTCAAGCTGAGGAGCTCCAGTAGTTTGGCACATCAATGATCCTTCTTTGTCGGACGAGGCTGAGAGTTCAAAGGGGGAAGTGAGAAAGCCGAGATAACCGAAGATAACCGAAGCACATCAGTCAAACACTGCCAGCACAATGTATGAAGAGGAAGGGCATGAATCGTCTGGAGAGAAGAGTATCATTTACAAGGACTCATCTGGGGACCCTCTGTTGACAGTCCTTTATCACCATCATTGCCGCCATTATCAATATCATCCTGGGCGTGCCCCCAGCATTACCATCCATCGTTTCCATCAGCACTTGAGTCCCCCACTCAGCATTCCCTCTCCAACCCTGCTGCTGCCCAAAGGAGTGTGAGTTGTGAAAGCACTGGACTCCCAACCTTTGTGTGTCCCTGTCACGTCCTTGCTCCATAGCCATGATCATGCTGTGCAGCTCTGACTATCAATACTGTATATCCGTAATGTCGTGTCGTAGGAGGTTGACTGGGTCATCCTTTCTCAAGCCACATAGTGAGACTTTGGTGGATGGAAAAGGGCTTCATGGCCAGGTTGTTGGCAGAGTCTGTCCCAAGTGTCAGTGGTCTCAAGACTCTCTGTGAAGGGAGGAGCTAAAACGTGCAGCAGTCTCCAGACCGCAGAAGATCTGAACAATGAAGGCTTTCACATCTTTCTGACAGTATGAACCCGACAATCAATCCTCGCACTTTGGACGTAGTTGTCCCAGATAGGATATTGTCCCCATGCGGTGATGGCAACTTTCCACCCGGCACCCATAGTTCTGATGAGTTTTCTGATGTCTTCATCTTCGTCATTGTAGTGCCAGGTGACCGTATGGGTCTTAAAATCCTGGCCTGCGTGAATGTTGGTGACGATCTTTCTCGGTGGGAAGTTGAAAGCGGGTTCCGCCCCCAATTTCCATATTGGCTGTTTCCTGCTCGCTCGAGAGGGAGTGATCTTGACTTCAAACCAAGTCTTGCTGTTCCTGTAGGTGCCGACATCCTGCAAGTCATTGCTGTGACCCTGATCACAAGAAGTGATGGTGAATGTAAGTGAACGTAGTGCTTTTCGTGGCATTGTAGCAGGAAGTTCAGCCTCTAGATAGACCACGCCTGGTCTGTGACCGCTGACACCATGCTCTCGCGCAGTAACTTTGAAAGGCTCCGCGTCTACTTTCGACGCCAGAGGAACGTCGTGCCACAATTCAGCCATGTCAAGAATCTCTGGAACCACATCACGGTCCACGACACGAGACAGAATCATGGCAGTGCGGTAAACGTTGCGGTTACAAGGACCCTTGGGCTCCAGGGGAGCAGAGTAGCAGATTTCATCACATTTTTGCAGGGCGCGCTCGGCGTATGAGCGGACCCGGTCTGGGAGGTTCGGGATGAGGAGGTATCGGATGATGAGCGGCAAGATTATGTTGAGGACAAGTTTGAAGAGGATGAGTTTGAGAAGGAAAAAGTAGATGGCCCAGAGCCCAAAGAGGCCCAGGAGAAGATGGTTCAACAACATATTCAAGAAATGGAAGCTCGGCAGGAGGATGGCAATGCGACGGCCATTGATTAAGAGGAAGGGCGAGGGCTTGTAAGCTACAGTATTAGCAACCACATGGTAGCGGTGAAGTAGGACGGCCGAGGAGGACGAGGATAAGATACGAGAGAAGATTAGGAGGAGGAAGAGAAGAGTGCAACATGACTTGGGTCTTTCAAGACTCATCAGGCACGTGATTGGGAGGGTGGGATGAGCTCCAGGGGGTGTGATCGATGCCTGTTGCCTGGTGAATGGTTGAGGAAGGCCAGAAGGCCACAAGCCAGTCTGTTGAGGTGGAAGGACCACACCTGGCATTACATGCCCAGGTTTATAGGTGTTGTAGGTGCCCAGACCCTTGAGTGCTGGGTACCTACCTGGTACCTAGGTACCCTGGGTCGGTGCCCCCCCATTCAGCCCTCTTCTCCGCCTCTCTGCCTCTCTGCCTCTCTGCCTCTCTGCCTCTCTGCCTCTCTGCCTCTCTGCCTCTCTGCCTCTCTGCCTCT